CTCAAAGGAGTAGGGCGCTGGCCCCATATGCTGGAGGTGGTGGGTTCAAAACCAGCCCCGGCCAAAAACTGCAAAAAAAAAAAAAAAAAGAAAAAGAAAAAAGATACTATTCCCTAATCAGTTATATGGTTTACAAAAATTTTCTCCTATTTTATGGGTTGCCTTGGACCTTTTTTGATGGTGTTCTTTAAAGTGCAGAAGTCTTTAATTTTGATGAAATCCTGTTTATCAACTTTTTCTCTTATGACTCTGATTTCAGTATCATATTTAAGAAAACTTGGCTTAATCCAAAGTCATGAAGATTTATGCCTATGTTTCTTCCAGGATTTTTTAGTTTTAGCTCTTAAATTTGAGTCTATGATCCATTTTGAGTTAATTTCTTTGTACTATGTAAGGAAAGGGTCCAATCTCATTCTTTTGTGAGTGGATATTCAGTTGTCCCATAACCAGTTGTTGAATCCCATTAACTTTCTGTTATCTAGCCTTGGAAACATGTGGAAGAATTTACATGGCATTCTCCCATTTGTTCTGGTGCATATGTTCTTTTTAAAAGGTTACTATCTGTTATTTTGTTGAGGTTTCTGGAGATACCAGGCGAGTGCCAAGATCAACATGTGTGTTCAATCAGCCAAGTCTAACTAGCAGTGTCTGGTCTGGGGGCTTTCAAAAGCAGGGGTGTGTATAAACACATGTGTCCAATCTGCCATGTCCACTGGAGTGCTCTATTTGTTTACCACTGATTTTCTCTGCTATACTTCAGTGACTCCCAGCCACTATTGCGGTTCTAAAGCTTAGCACTGTATTACATAAATTATAAAGGGCAAAGTGAATGAATAATGAAGCAAAGTCAGAAGACTTGGTGGGGTAGATTGGATTAGAGAATGTCTTTGGGTAGGAGCAAAAACATCATTTGAGATTGGAAAAAGATGAGAATGGGGCAGCACCTGTCGCTCAAAGGAATAGGGTGCCGGCCCCATATGCTGGAGGTGGCAAGTTCAAACCCAGCCCTAGCCAAAAAATAATAATAATAATAATAAAATAAAAAAAAAGATGAGGATGGGTTCAGATATAGATTAGAAGTCAAGAAAAGAAGACAGGGACAGAACATGAGGAATATGGGCCCCCCATGGCTTGTCAGGAGAGAAGTTGCATGCACAGACTTGGGATACTCTGTAGCCATATTCTTGAAGCCAGATGTGCTCTTGTTTGATTTTCTCTTTCCTAAAATACATGGTTGCATGCTAAAGGACTTATTCAATTTTATAAACCAGTCATCTTTTCTGACTTTGTTTCTCAGTTGCTGACTGTTCTTCAGAAAGACAAAATACAGGCTTTTAGAAAGATAAAACTGGTTTCAAATCTTGATTCTTCCCAGCTACTACGTGACTTGGGGAAAATTTCTTTTTTCTTCTGAGCCTCAGTTTTCTCCTCTGTACAATGGGGACAATGACATTACCTATCTCAAGAGTTTGTTGTTTAATTAAATGAGTTATTATAATGCAAGCAAAGCTCTTAAATTGGTGCCTAGCATATAATACCATGCTCCAAAAAACCTATCTCATTTAACTTTCAAAGTAACACTTTGGATTGTCCTTTTTAAAAACCATGTCTCATTTTCAACCTGGACACCATCTTCTCTCTGCTCCTTCAGCCTTTTCCCCCATCCATGTGAATGTGAAGGCAGCGCTCTGTGTGTGATTGAGTCAGAGACAGGCCAAAGACTTGGGGTTTTTCTTCTCTCTCCTATTCTTTGCTTGGGCCTTAGCAGCTGTACTTTTAGCCACTGACAGTTTTGGATCTGAAACATTGTGCCATTGGCAACTATCTCTTGTTTTTATTCCAAGTGAAGTTAATGATAGTTTTATAAATTCAAGTCATGTTAATAATAATTTTCACAGTGTTTTTAAGTATCTGGAAATGAATTGTTGTTTCTTTATTTACTAGACATATACAAAAGAATGGGCTGATATTCTAAACCATAAAAGTAAGCATGTGGAAGAAGCTGTCAAAGAACTTATATTAATATTTGAACAAATTTATGAAGTCAAGTACACTGGCAAATCAGGAAAACAGGGACCAGGTAATTTCAATGGTTATAATGTTTGAATTACAGGGTCCACAAATGTGTCCTCCGGTAGGCACCTCTGCTTACCAGATACTGAATTCCAGAAGGAAAGCAGGGGTTCAGCAGAAACGATTGTTTTTACAGATACTTCAAGCCCAGAGAGCTCTTTTTGTCAGTTAAGGAATGGCGGGAGCCCTTCTGAAGTCCAAATTCCCAGTCAAGAGCTATCTTGCCAACAGGCCTGTCTTATGGATATTACTCTCAGGCCTGTTGTGTTGTTATTATTATTTTATACACAATTCTAATTAAGTCTTTTTGATCATTGGATTTATTTTACTTTTTTTTTTTTTTGGAGAAAAATGAGCCAGACAAAAATAAATTTTACAATTTTCTTTAATCTGGAAAACTTAATTTGATAGCTCTGCCTAACAGGGATTAGATTTTTTTTTTTTTTTTGAGACAGTCTTACTCTGTTGCCCTGGGTAGAGTGCAGTTGCATCATCATAGCTCACAGCAACCTCAAACTCCTGGGCTCCAGTGATCCTCTTGCTTCAGCCTCCTGCATAGCTGGGACTATAGGCATGTGCCGCCATGCCTAGCTAATTTTTCTATTTTTAGTAGAGATGGGATCTTGTTCTTGCTCAGGCTGATCTTGACTCCTGAGCTCAAGAAATCCTCCTGCCTTGGCCCCATAGAGTGCTGGAATTATAGGTGTGAGCTACCTCGCCCAGCTAAGACTGCATTTTAAGACATCCCCCTGCCCAGAGTATTTTCTGTATAGAATGAGCTAGGCATTACCACTTAGGACTGTTTCAGGGACTCTGGGTAGAGCTAAATGGTGGCTAGTTGAAGACTGTACTGCCAGGGAAGGAAAGATCACGCCATAGCATGTACTCCCCACCATCCGGCTTCCTACTTCCAGTTAAAGAATGATCTAAAAGGCTCTATATCTTAACTGCAACTTTTGAGTCTTCTCAAACTTTCATCATCCTCATTGAGTTTGTTTGGGAATATGAGAAACTTCCTTGCTTTACGGGTCTGTTCGGGCAACCGTTTGTCACAAGGTGCCTGTGTTATTGGAAGTGGTTAAAAAAATTTGACCCTGTGGGATTGCCTGTTCTCCCAGTACATTCTAATAATTTCAGTAAATACTTATTAATAAGCCCAAGCTATTACATTTGAAACCTCTTTATCAGGGACTGGAAATTTTAAGAAAATATTCCCAGTAGGAAGATTTTCCCAGCATTTTGCTTCCTGCCCCCTAGATTGTGGTTTAAGAACATCAGGGTTTTAGTTTTGCTTCGATTGTCCTGTCCTAGATATTTTGAATCTTTAGATAAATTTGAAGAGACTTATTTCATTTTAAGGTTTTTTTTTCAAGGTGTAAATAAGAACTGATTAGGTAGAAGTTTGTGGTTGGAGGGTTTACTTTTTAGTATAGTAAGAGGATGTGTCTGTCGATCATGGTCCCTGTTTGCCCAAATACCTGCTAGCCCCACCATCCCCTGCTCAGGGGAGCAGTGTGAGGCTGGTTTCGTGTAAGGCCAGCCACTGACTGCACAAGGGAGTGTTGCAAACACAGAATGTGGCACCGGAGTTTTGAAGGAGCTGCAAGAGATAGCTCTGCCTAACAGGGATGAGGCTAATTAGCTAATGACCAACATACTTGAACTAGGGAATCTGTGGGAAGTTGGCTTTTTGAGTGAGAGGAGAACACTCCAGTCAAGTAGAGATCCCATTTTTAAAAAGGGAATGGAGAAGGAGAGAAAGAGAGAAATCTGTGCTTAGAGTAGTGGTTCTCCATGAGGGTATGGGAGGGATTTCTTCCAGGACACATATGGCAATGTCTGGAGACGTTTTTCGTTGTCACAGTGTCAGAGTTTACTCCCAGCTTATAGTGGATCAGGGCCAGGGACGCTGCTGATTGTCCTGTAGGACAGCCCCCAGCGATAAAGAATCTTCCAGCCCCAAATGTCAGTAGTGCTAAGGATGAGAAACTCTGGGCCTCACGTGAGTGTGTACACCGTGTCTCTTCCCTCCTTGAGTTTTTCATTGAGTTTTAGTACAAGAGTTTAACTAGTAAAAGACATCATCTAATTGTTAGAAAACTCCAAAGCACACATTTTAGAAAGTAATAGATAGAACTCAACTTTTTTCTTAATTCTAGATACTGAAACAGAGTATATGAATATTTACGAATATTTACTGAGCATATTTCTTTCTTTTTTTTTTTTTTCATTTTGTGATAGAACCTCAGTCTATTGCCCTGGGCAGAATGTTTTGGCATCATCATAGCTCACAGCAACCTCAAACTCGTTTGCTCAATCAATTCTCTTGCCTCAGCCTCCTGAGTAGCTGGGACTACAGGTGTTCCTCTCCATGTTCAGCTGTTATCTTTTTTATTTTTAGTAGAGACAGGGTCTCACTCTTGCTCAGCCTGGTCTTCTGAGCTCAAGCAATCCTGCCTCAGCCTCTTAGAGTGCTAGGACGCATGAGCCTCCAGACTTGCAGAGCATATTTCTTAGTAGAATGATGATTATTTTAAGATAGGTGGTTTAAATTCAATTCAAGGATGACTCCTATAGAAAAAAAATGCACAAACATTTTTTTTCTTTTAAAGTTTTTAAAGTAAGGGCTTTTCACAAAGGAGCTTCCTAAGAAGATTTGGCCATGGAGAATAATTTGCTCAGAAAAAGCAAATCTCATATTTTTGTTTTGTCTTTTGTCTACAGAACAGCGGAAACATGTTGCTTTTGGAAGTGAAACAGAAGACGGTGAAACTGACTATGATGCTAACATTGGGAATGAGGATACAAATGATAAAGAAGATGAGTTTAAAAAGGTATTTATTGTGGAACAACTTCACCCAACTCAAAGAGTTATGACTCCTAGGATTAGAGATAACCCCAAATGGTGCTTCTTGCAGTCAGTTTTATAACCAATCTGTGTCTAATTTGTAACAAAATCCCAAAAATATAATTTTCAATTTTATGCTGTAGGATCAGGCAAAATATAGAAGTCTTTACAATTTTCCTTAATATCACCACCTTTTAATGTGATTCTGTTGATTATAATTTATATAGCTATCTCCCCCTATTGTGATTCAGCTCTCTTCTTACTCAACCTGCCTCTCACAACCCCCCCCCCCACCCCCGCACCATTGTCCGAGGGGCAGGGCTCTGGAGCAACAAGCAAACAGTATAGTCGGAGCCTGGCCCCACATGTGTGACTCACTGTGCAAGCAAGACGTGGGCCAAGTCCCTGACTGTCTGGCTCAATACCTAGCCTGTGCTCTGACCAAAAGCTTGGCTTATTCTCCCAAGGGAAGGAGGGTGTGGAGAGAGTCAAAGTTTCGTCCTATAAATTTGGGTACTGTATATTTTATAATACACGTGTCCATCAAACTGAGCTTCTTGAGGATGGAGCTGAGTCATCCTCTTGTGGCCACTCCCTTCAGCATTGAGAAATGCACCACACTTACAAAGTCCTTCCCTTTTGTTGGGTGGTTTATTGAGTTGTGCAAACCAGGATTATTATTTTGAATACTCTGTTTTTGTATTTTGGCTTTTGAGGTTTTCTCGTTTGCTAGAGTGTTTCAGCAAGCACATTTTCATACACTTATATTTGTCGAAAAAATCAGACGAGTAACTTAGGGTTGAGTTTATTTCTACAGTATCACTGAAATTGCATCATTTATTTTTCATGTTTTACATGTTACTTTTAATATTATATCATTGCTTTGGGGATGTCAGAGTTTTCTAAAAAGTGATTTAATATGATTTATTATTACAGGAATGTAAAGAGGTCTATGCTTTTTTCTCTCATCAATTACTGGACAGTCTTCAAAAAGCTACACGGTTATCTTTGGACACAATGAAAAGAAGAATATTTGTTACAAGGCAAGTTGAAGATATGCTAAATGTGTCTGGTAATGCTACCTATCATGATACGATTGTAGTATGTGTAGCACCTTGTATTTCATTGATTTATTAATTTTTAAAATTATAAAATTAAAAATAGAGCATTCATTAAAAGACTGTATGAAATATTTGTGTTAAAATACTGCAAGACCCATGATCAGATGAAGAACCATGTTCTTAGCACCCTGCCTGAGATAAAGAAGACTACACCAGTGTTCTCACTGGTCCTTTCCTGTCTCATCTAAAGGTAATCACCATCTTGAACTTGATGTTTATCATTGTCTTAGTTTTCCTTACAGTTTTGTATCCCAAGTCAATGCATCATTTAATTTTGCCTGCATTTGAACTGTGCTCAGTATTGTTTTGAGATTCATCTATGGGTAATAGTTTATTTTCACATCTGTATAGTTGGAATATACTCAATCTGTTTATCCATTCTATTAGTGATGGTTATTTGGTTCCCCCCACAGTTTAGGCTATAAAGAATAAAGTTTCTGCGAGCATTCTTGTACCTGTCTCCTACTGTACCTGCTAAGAGTGATTTGCTAGGTCCTATGGTGGGGGCATGCCTCATTTTACCAGGAGGGGCCTTGTTTGAGAGTGCCCATGCCTTCTTATCCTTGCAATCAGTATTACACAGTTAAAACATTCTTGCTGCCAGGTGTGGTGGCTCCCGCCTGTAATCCTAGTATTTTGGGAGGCTGAGGTGGGTGGATTGCTTGAGCTCAGGAGTTCTAGACCAGCCTGAGCAAGCGTGAGACCCTATCTGTAAAAAATAGCTGGGCGTTGTGGCAAGGCACCTGTAGTCCCAGATACTTGGGAGGCTGAGGCAAGAGGATCACTTGAGCTCAGGAGTTTGAGATTGGTGTGGGTTATTATGATGCAATGGCACTCTACTGAGAGTGACAAAATGAGACTTTGTCTCAAGAAAAAAAAAGGAAACAATAAAAAAATTCATGCCAAAATAAGGAGTATGAAATGGCATCTCATTAAGATTTAAATTCTAATTCTCCTGTAATTCTCCTAGGTATTGATAAAGCAACATATATATCTATATCTATCTTTCTCTCTCTCTCTCTCTCTGTGTATATATATATATAATTATTATTTTTGCTTTTCATTTCTTCCTTCCATATGGAATTATCTTTTTCTTTCTTTTTTTTATTGAGGCTACATATATTTTCATGTATTTATGGTCCATTTGTCTTTCTCTTCCTTAAAGTTTGTGTTTTTTCCCCTTTGGCCTGTTTTTCTACTGAATCGGATTAATTCATAAATATTCTTAATATCTCACTTTGTTGACAAAAATAGCAAATAGGTTTTCTCAATTTTGCCTTATCTTTTCACTTTCTTTATTAATTTTTTATTTTTCTCTGCTGAGTTTTAAGAATATTCAAATTTATTTTCTTAGTGATTGGTGCTTTTTTTGTTATTTTGAAGAAATCAACCCTTTTCTAGTTTAATGCCTTCTGAAAGCTTTATAGTTTTGACTTTGACATATAGGGATTTAATTTACATGGTATTGGTTTTTATGCTTAATGTGAGGTAGGAGACCCATATATTTTCTTCTATACAGTTAATTAGTTGACCAAGCAAAAGGTTTTGAAAAATCAACTTATTTTTTGTAGGTGAGGAGGTTTAGGTAGCAACGAATCCATAGATCGATTTGGAGAGAATTAGCATTCTTATTAATATTGAGTCTTCCATTCAATTTATGTATTACCTCCTTATGGATATAAGTCGTTAATATCTCTCAGTGAAGTTGTATAATCCTTACATTTTTGTTAGATTCATTTTATTATCACTGTTGTCTTTGGGATAGATAATTTTTACTTTTTATTCTCTTTTCTGTACTTTAGTTCTTTAGGTGATTACACTTAAATTTAGAATGCATATATTTTGTCCCATTTTTTAAAAATGTATTGTCTATAGTTGTGCAGTTTTCAGCCTTATTTCTGACTCCAAGGGCCTTGGTAGACTTTATTCAATGAACCTATCTTATTGCTGTTTGATGTTTTAGTTTTACTTCTTTCTTAAAAATTTATAAAAAGATATTACTGCCATATTTAATTAAAATCTCCAGGTTCACTTGTAGTTTTTGCACCCCACTCATTCCTTAGTGAGGATTTGTGGGGGGCAAATGCTCTTGTACGTATTTTGCTTTGTATGTCTGAAAATGTTTTGCCCTTACTTTGATGACAGTTTGGCTGGATCTAAAAGTTTATTGTCTCTCAGCACTTTGACAGTATTTTCTTCATACTTTTCTGACTTAGGTTGCTGTAGAAGTCTGCAGCGAGTCTAACTGAAGATTCTTTTTTAGGCTTAATGTTTCTGCAGTTTTCTTACCTTGTGCATATGTGTCTTTATTTAATCCTGCACTTTTTGTTTGAGGGCTGATAGCTTCCTTTAATTCTGAAAAAAAATCTCAGCCATTTCCTCCGCAGTTATCACTTGGTGGCCATTCCTTCATCGTCTGCTTCTGGAACTCCTATGGAAAGTTGAATAGAGCGGCTGTGTAATTTACTCTTCCAACTAGGACGTCTTTATGCATGAAGGGATGCCATCCAGAGGAGGTACTGGGACAGGATTAATCAGGAACTGTCCTGCACACTGGATGTGTGTGGTCATCTCCTATGTTAGGGCCTCCCAGTGTAGCCTTCCTGTCTCCTCTAACTACTTCGTCATAATATTTTATTTCATTTTTTTTTTTGCTTTTCTGAACTACCTTAAAGGCGAAGGTCTCTGTATCTGTTCTAAAAATTATGTCATCTATTGCATCTTAAATATTTTAATACTTTTTCCTATCCTCCAAGTATTGTATTATTTCTGCCTTTTTAGTTTAACAGTTTCTTTATTTTTTTGGAAACTATAGCCATCCCATATCTCTTTGAACATTCTCAATATACTTATTTTAGAGCTTGTCAGACTTTTATACATTAACTTTTATCTGAAGTGAGTTCCTATTTCAATTGTTTATTTCTTTAGCACTCTTTCTTACCCTTAGACTTACTCACGTCTATGGACATTTTAATGTGTAGGCTCTAATTCTGTCTGCGTGTGTTTCTTTCTCCTTCTCTCCTTCTCTATCTATGAATTTCACTTTTGCCTCAAGTGCAGAACCAGATCTTTTTTATTCACATTACTGCCCCCCTGGAGAGATCCTGGAAGGAGGCCGGTTCAGCTAGACTTAGTTGCTTATCACGGAAGCTGTGGATTTGCATCTTTTTACCCTTGGGCCACATCTTCTGGAAAAGCTATAGCATGGGCCGTGGATTGCCAGAGCTTGTCAGGCTGTTTCGCCTCTGCACAAGTCAGGGGTGTTCTCTTAGTTTCTGGTTTCAGGTTGTGAGCCTAGATGAGGTCCCATTCAGCCTGGGGTCTTGTCAGTCCTGTGTCGCACAAGAGCCAACCACCCCACAGTCATCGTCTCTTTCTGGACCCAGAACCCTGGCCAGGCTGTTCTTGTGTTGCTGGTCCATTTCTTTTTTTTTTCTTTTTTCAAATCAAATACTGCAGTACTGATTGAATCAGTATAAAATTGAGGGGTTTAGATCTGTAATAAAAATCCAAATTTGGGGAAGGGCAAACTTTAAAACAGCAGCCGAGTAGAGAAGAGTGGGGAAAGGAGGGATGAGTGAACAGGCACCTTGGAACTGTGGGGACATGCAATTGACCACTGTCAAACCAGTGTAAGTTTCTTGGTTTCTCATGGAAAACATTTTATACACCTATTTGTTTCCTTCCATACTTAAGTCCTTCAGTGTCCAGATACGTCTGTTCCATTTTTTTTTGTCTTGTTTTTTTGTTGGGCTATTACAACGTAGTACTGTATTTATTCCAATTCCCACTCCAGGTGGAAAAATTAGATGATTTCAGATACTTTCTTGAGCTCCACAATAAGCTGCCAGTCACTCTTCTGCATTTCATCTCTGAACCAGTCTTTGAGTGCATCGATGGACTGTCGGCTGATCACCGACAAGAATATCTGTAGCTTCAAAATGTCTTCCAAACATTTTGGGGGATTCACCAGGGATAAATAAGTTCTATTTTACACAAACTTCTTGTCCTTTTTTTGCAGCATCTACTTGTTTATAATTTATTTCAATACTCGTTACTATTCCAATGTCTGTGACAAAGTTTTTGTTGGGACACACATAGGTGTCCTCTGTTTCACTTGACCTGCTTCTACAGTCACTCCCATCCCAATCGGATCTCGAGAGTTGAAAATGTACTGAGGGAGGATTTTTACCTTGCAAGGAAATACTGCTATGTGCTTAAATTCTTCCTGTTTCTGTTTCTCGAATTCTTGTTTATATTTCGTGAAAGCATCAAATAAATGATAAATAATTTCTGCACTAAAAATTCTAACTCCTAAACTATCAGCCATTTCCTGTGCATCTCGTTCAGTTCTCACATCAAAGGCCAAAATGACTGCATACTGAGGATCATGTCCCAACATCACTGAAGCCTTCGTAACATCTTTTTTATGGACTGGGCCAATGTTAATTCCTGCATAGGACACCTCTGATGTTTTCAAAAATTCAAGTGGAGCTTCCAAAGACCCCAGTGTAGATGCTTGGACATAGACTCCTTTTTCTTCTAATTTGATAGCATTTAGTGTCTGCTTTAATTCATGGATCAATTCATCTTTAAGAACAGGGATTTCATCTTCTTTATAAGCCACCAGGAGGGGTAAACCAGCCAATGTTTTCTCCAAGTCTTTTGCAAGAATCTTTACCCCCTGAAGCTTCTACTTCTTTATGCTTTTCATACTGGTTCTTCACTCGTAATTCCTTCATAGGAGGAGGGAAAAGAAGACCTCAGATCTGAGTTACAATGGGCCCTTCTACTCCAGGAGCAATGATCGTATCTACCTCCTTCAAACGCCCATTGATCAGTATAACTGCTGGTCCATTTCTAATTCTTGGTGAGCATCTCACATCCTTTATGTCCCATTCACGATTGCTATGTGTTTGGAAAGAAGAAGTGTTTTTGAAGCAGAACTCACCGTGCCACGCTGATTCACCAGTTCTGCAGTACTCAAGTAAATTTTGAAGACACACGTGTGAGGATAGTGCTGCAAAGCCTCACTGTCCTCACACTCTGATGCTGGTTTGGTCTTCTCAGATCATAGCCCCTTTCTTTCATACTCCACAAATGCTCTTCCCTTGGCTGATTTTGAAAATGCCTTGAAGGGTGTTTTTTGAGATGAGCATTCTGCTGCTAACTCAATTTGTCTTTCTAAGTAACAGCTTGTTTTGATGCTTACAGAATTTCTCCTTTATCCTTGAAACTCATAAATTATATGTTTAGATGTAGGTCTTTTTTCCCCCGTTAATCTTGTCAGGCACACAGCAAATCTTTTCAAGATGAGAAAAACAGGTCCATCCTTAAGCTTAAAGGAATTCTATGCTTTAATTTACCATATCTATGTAGGATTCACATGCTGGATCTATTTTATGTAGTAAGATATAGCTGAGTTGAATGATGCTCTGGAAGTTACTTCACCTCTCCCTACCTTTCCTCATCCACAATCACAGGATCTGCCTCACAGAGTTCATGTGAGGATGAATTGTGGTATTTCATGGAGAGTGCTTGGAAGGTACATGGCATACATTAAGCATTCCATAAATGCTACTTAGTTTACCTTCTCCTTCAGTAATTTCTAATCCCTTTGTAATTTGCATCTGAAATTTTAGAGAATACCTGTGTAACTGGTCCTCTAGTTTGCTGAGTAAGTGAATAAGGTACTGCATGCTCTAGTGCTCTGGGCGCTGCCTCTGTGAACTTAGATTTTTTATACTTTATGAAATTCTTTTTGTTCTCAAACTGTCCCCTTTGTAAAACGGTCTACTCTTATTTTCTTATTGCATTGTGAATCTTACAGGGAGAATATGAATTATAGGGTTTTGTTTGCTTGCTTGCTTTTAGTTCAAAGAGTTCCTTGCAATAATAGCTTTATCTGGGAACCATTGGCTCTGAATGCTAAAAGTAGATCTCTGCTTTTGAACTGTGATGTCTTTATGTCTCCTGTGATCCTCCCCGCCTCCCCATCTGCTTGTACCTTTACTTTCTTCCTTTTACTTACTACTTTTATTGTATTTACTTGTAAAAGGCAGTGTAGTTTTTCAGCAATGATAGCATCTCTTACATTCCCAGAGAAAAAGAGAATGAAAAGTTTACAGTTATTATAATTTTGTCTGGGGTAGGGATGGAGGTCAATGCAGACTAAGCTAGCCAGACTGCTCTGCAGCTCTGCATGTCCTCGACTGGACTCGTGTGTCTGCACTCTGTGCTTCTGTGTCTGAGTGACATTATTTTAAAAAGCAGGCTTTAACCAGAAACCTGTTTAATCTTATGAAAAGTAAATATAGAAATGTATATGAAGGTATATGCTTTTTGCTGGTGATCTCATCCTGCAGCTGTTAAGGGCAGGAAACAAAGAATGTGGTTAGTAAACATTGTTAAATAGTTATACAGAGAGTGCAGCATTAAAACACTAGAAAATGTATATGAGACTCTTACTTCTAAGAATTGTATCATTCGTTTTCTTAGTTCTCTGCAGTTATGTTTCTATTTTAGGTAATATTCTCTTTGTATAATTTGGTATTTAAAAATGATCTTTATTTTTGGGACTGAAACTTGTAGCATAATAAACTATGGAGTTTTAGGTTAAGGTAATTCCATCTTATTACAGCTCTTATGGACGAAAGCGGTCAGAAGATGTTATTTCCTTTATAAAAACCGAAGTACATCTCGCAATTCCCAACGTGGTAAGTATTGTTAAATGCATATTTTGGTAATGTTTTTAAGTATGGTATTAGAACTGAACTTTCATTTACAGTGGTGTCTTGCTCCTATGTATTCTTTCACTTCCCCTCACCTTTTTATTTTTGGTATAACAAAAATCAAAATATTGTCATTTATATCTGTTATTAAAAAGTTACTCCTGCATAGCTCACAGCGTGTTAAAGGGCTGGTGGAGAAGTTCAGTTAAGCATTTGTTCTGCCATCACTTAGCAATTATCTACAAGTTGTCTTGCTTTTTCTAACTTCAGACATTAGATCATCTAAATTAAAACCATCTTAGATGCCCAAATGCCTACTCCAAACACATGACTGTAAAGCAGCCTAGTAAGGATTGCAGGATAGAAAGACGGGGAGCCTATGTCCCCAGCATCAGGAAGCCCCACGTCTTCCCATGGCTCTTACCTCTGCGACTACCCCAGCTGCTCTTTAGCATCTGGGACTTGGTGCCACACAGGCTGGCTGAGGTGCCTTCTGTGCTGGGCCAAAGGAATAAGGCCAGACAGGAATAGCCTGTGACTCAGCCCCACACCACCTTTCCATGGCCTCACCTCCTGGAGGATGGCTTCTTAGCTTGTTGGGCACATTTAAAGAATGGAACTCAGAAGCTTGCTGGTACAGCCTTTTCAGTTGCTTTACTCTGTGGATCCCTAACATGCATGGGAAAGGATGACAGGCACCTCGTTTGACTTTTTGCTCTCAGGAATCGATAGAATGGGAAAACCTTGGGGTAGAGAAAGTTTGCCATCGGCCCTCCTCTGAGATCCTTCTCACAGCAGTGCCCCCCTGGGCCAGCTGAGGCTTTCCCCATAGCGGGGCAAGGGGGCAAGAATCAGAGGGGCAGGCTGTACACACTGGCAGTATCACTCTGCTTTCTTCTTCCCACAGGTGATGGTTCCTAGTCTGGATGATATTCAACAAGCCATTAACCGTATGATCCAGCTAACCCTGGAGGTCAGTAGAGGGGTGGCCCACTGGGGGCAACAGCAGATCCGTCGCATCAAGTCTACCATTGCCAGTCCCGATGGGATCCACACAAGCTCAGGAAAACTGAAGCGGGAAGAAAGTAAGATCGTTAAACCTCAGGGGTGGAGTCTCAGAGTCATAATGATTAGATGGTCTTTCCGTGTCTTCCTGGGTTTGACAGCATACTGGTTTTTGATAAGTTATTTTTATATGTTTATTGGACACATTTTTGCATTAGTAAAACTGGTCTTCTCTATTTTTCCTCTTAAATGTGATACGCAGACATCTCTTCCTAGTTTTTGGCATGGGTGAAAAGGATTTTTATCACAGTTCTTATCATAATCTGAAAAGTTACACAATTAGAATAAGCTACCACTGCTTTTACTTTCAGCATTATATTCAGTTGAATAAACTTAGTTTGGTAGAAAATGATGCATAGAAGATCTGAATCATATGTTCCTTTTATATAAAGTCTCCATAAATTAGTCCCTTAAGTAGTTACAGATGTAATATGATAGTGACTCACAACTTCATGTACAGTTTTGGACATTTCCTTATAGAAAGCCAAACCCTCTTCCTCCAAAACTATATTGCCTTCACTGCTAATCCAGGAAATGTGAAAATAGACACCATGTAAGTACTTGACCAGGTGACCCCGGCCCCTGTGCCACCTTTCTATGCTGCACCAACATTGCTTTCTTACATCTGTGGTCTAATGAGTGTTTCCCACAGCAAGCTAAGGAGGAAGGATGAAAAATTTCAGGCCTGGTCTGTATGACTTGGCTTGATATGTGCGCGTCAGCTGAAACTGGACTAATACTGTGCTACAGCCCACTCAGGAGTGGCCTTAAAGGACAGTGAAGGGAGACTCCCTCCCCAGTGGGCAGAGCCTGAAGGAGAATATCCTTTGTAAGGAAGGAGAAGTGGCTTAAGCAAAGGTATACATGGACTCTTGGGCAGTGAGGAATGGCTGGATGTCGTGACCCGTAGGGCTCCTATGGCCCTGGTCTCAGTTAGTGCAGAAAGGAACCAGGTGAGAGGTGGATTAGAAATACAAGCTTGTGGAAGGCGGGCTAGCCCTTACTTTACGGGTAGCCCCGGCAACCTCCACACCAGCCTTTTATTGAGCCAGAACAACACAGGTGAAGGGAGTAATTAACAAGGACTACTGAGGGCACAGGCTCCTCCCACAAGGAACTCCTGTGGAGGAATGGCCCAAGGTCCACGCCTCAGCTGCAGATCATCTTGCTCAGAGGTTGGCGTCTTGCTCAGAGGTTGGCGTCATTGGTATTGATTCTAATCCTGAAATATACAAGTCTAAACACCGTAATTTCAAATGTTGAAATTCCCCAACGACCCAAATCCCCAAAATGTAATTCTGGAAAAACCAATGAAAAGTTTTGGAAAGATAATTTACATTTTAAAAGGAGATTTGACTATTAGAATTTTAGATGTTGGGGATTTCATGCTTTCTAAATTTAGACTTTTGGGATGTCAGCATTTGGGATTTTGGCATCAGGGATTGTGTCTTTTGGGGTTATCCGAATCCAGTTCCATCTTTTCTTCCGGGAGGTGAAGCAATTTTTCCAGTCACAAACATAATGAGAGTTGGGAATGAATCCAGATAAGAGGATTAAAATCCAGTTTTCTTAACTTTTGGTCCAATGTTTGTCATTACGTTTTTTCTGTCCCTGGTTCATTCCACATGTCTTTTTATTACTATAGCAGGCTGAATGTGAAAGTAAAAACCACGAGGGGCAAGAACCTTTGCATTTATCAACAACCCAGCAATAAGAATTCTATTCTCTGCCAAACTGTCAACCAAGTATGACTGTGTAATAAAGACATTTTCAAACATGCAATGTCTTTAAAATTCACCCTCACTGCACCATTTTCCATAGTTACTGAAGGTCGTATTCTTCCAAAATAAGAAAGTGAAGCTAGGAAAAAAGAAAAAAAAAAGAGGATGTGGAAACAGGAATAAACACGGCAGAGGAGAAGGGAATTCCCAGGTGAATGATGAAGGGTCATCACACAATGACAACTGTGTTCTAAGCATAGAGAGCGACTAGTGCGATGTAAGAAAATACAGAAGGCGGAAGCCAGCGTGCTGCGGCTGCGCCCTCGCGCCCTCGCGCCGCCCCGGGCCTGGCCGACCCGCGCCCCTTCCTGCGCCTGCGCGCGCACCTGGCCTGCACGCGCGACGTCTGGCGCTGCACGACTGGAGCACGGGCTGACGCTCTTCTCCCGCGGCGCCACTCGCAGCTTCCACAGACCTTCTTCTGGGCTGCCTGCGCGAGCTGCCGCCGGTCCACCCCGGCCAGGTCGGCTGCCCGTGGTTATCTCCATCGGAGGCAACTGAACGTTTCATATCGAAAGAAATTTGGCTGGCACCCCTCCAGTTCTATGAACTGAGAGGACTTGAAAACTTTGCCTCTCTGTCTGACTCGCACAAATTCTGTTTGGATCGTGCCTTAGAAGGACTGGCAAGATGGCCGCCCATCACGCTGCTGACTGCTGACGGATCGCTGCAGCTTTTACCAGGTGGTGAGCTGTACTTAGAAGATTCAAACTTTGAAGAAAAATTTTTGTCTACTGAAAAAAAGACTGAAGAAATTATGAAGGAAGGAAAAACATTCCACTGCATAGTGATGTACGATCGCCGTCTTTGTAACATCCACTGTCCAGTCGAAGTATAAACACTTTATCCTAAGAACGAGGTAGTGAGTAAGAGCCGTTTGTGGGGAGCTGCGTGTTTGCAAGCTGGCCCACTTGAAGACGAGGGTTAACTGAACTTCTTAAGAACTTTGTGCCTGTAAAAGCTGTAATGCAGTGTTTTTTTAATTTCAGGTGTATTATGGAGCTCTCTTGTTTATTAAACCTTACAGTATGCCACAAGTAGGAAAAAAAAAAAAAGAAAATGCAGATTAGCCCATTGTCCTGGCCATATTCTCCCTGCACGTTCATTACTTGGCTTAGAAACACAGCCCCGCTCAATGTCTCCTCATGTGATGAGACCTATATTTCCTAGGACTCCCTTATCTCTGAGGCTTCCTCGCAGTGGGCTTTTGTAAACTTGTAGGAGAGCTGAAGCCAGACTTAGATCCAGAGACGGTTCAATTTCTTTTCTTGTAGGAGCCCTTATCTAATATAGATGGTTAGTGTTCTTTCCTTCACAGCTATATTTGTGCTTGCTTCCCAGTTTTAAAAAAATTAAGCAATATATTGTTTAGAAATAAGCACCTTGGTTTATCTTCAAAGAAAATTCAGGATAAGTGGTTACCTCTGGGAGTAAGGGAGGGGAATGGCATTGGTGATGGGCCCAGAGAGGACTTTCTATTCTTAACTCGAAAGGTGAGTACACTGGGATCCATTTTTCTTCTTTAATATATGTTTTATATATTTTTCATTCTTTTTGAACAATGTGTGTTATTTATGCTTCTGTAAGTATATCTCCCTCACTCACGTACGTACCTCTGTACATCCTCTTAGCCAACTAGGAATATGAAGGATAATAATGGTATTAGTGAAAAAAAATTTTTTTCCATTACCAATAAAATGAAGAATAAAGAAGGGAGGTTGCTATCATCACTTTTATTTGATATTTTACTGGCTGTCTGCTTTATGAAAAAGTGAGAGTAAGAATTAGAGAGGAAGAATAAGATTGTCCTTATTTGGCTCAGCGCCTATAGCTGAGTGGATGGGGTGCTAGCCACATACACCAAGGCTGGTGGGGTTTGAAACCAGCCCGGGCCAGCTAAACAACAATGACAGGCATTGTGGCAGGCACCTGTAGTCCCAGCTACTTGGGAGGTGAGGCAAGAGAATTGCATTAGTCCAGGAGTTTGAGGTTGCTGTGAACTGTCATGCCACGGCACTCTACCTAGGATGATATAGTGAGACTCTGTCTCAAAAAAAAAAAAAAAAAAAGATTGTCCTTGTTTAAAGAACATACATAGAAAATCAAAGAAATCCAGAAACAACTTTTATAAGTAATAAGTTTAGTAATGTTTATGTATAAAAGACCAACATACAGAACAAAAGAGTATTTCTACAATCAGTAGTAATTCAATTAGATGTAACATTAATAGAAAAAGATAGATTTTTCACTAGTTGCAAAACCATAGGTACTTAAAAAATAGATGTAAAAACCTATTTGCATAGGAGCTTTGGAGAAAATGATTGTTACTGAATGACATAATGGAAGACAGCAGTCATAAGTAATGAATATGCAAATTTAATACAATTCCACAGAAATCACAACAGAATTATTTTCTGTTATTTGTCAGGTTGTTTTGTATATTTGTTTGTAAAATTATATGAAATTCTATACCGCTGCAATATGATTGCTGTTAACAATAATACATAATTTTAAATAGCTAGAAGGAGGATATTGAACAAAGAAATGATAAATATGTGATACGATGGATATACAAATTATCCCATCTGATCATTGTACATTATATGTATCAAAATATCAATACACACCCCACAGATGTGTATAATTATTATGTATCTATAAAAATTATATGGAAAGACAAAGAGCCAAAAATAGCCAAGAAAAATTGATGAAGAAAAGCAAGGCAGGGACCCTGTCCTTCCACCTAGCAAGGTATGTTACAAAGCCAGCCTAAGGAACACAACCTTTTAATGGTCTAAAAATAGATGACGTATCAATGGAATAGGACAAAGGATGCATAAACATGCATATCTATGAAAATTAGATACATGATATGTGTGGAATTGCAAATCACTTGGGAAATGTACTATGTAATAAATGGTGCTGTGAAATTTTATCCATATTGAAGAAACATAAATCTTACTTAAGGCACATTTACAACTTAAATGTAGCCACAACTACTGTTCTAGATTCTGTAACACTATTCTACCTATTGTATAACACTTTTGGGACAAAACACAGCACAAAATGTTTATGACATCAAGGTAGGGAAGTAGTCTCAAGACATACAATCCTCAAACCATAGAAGAAAATATATTTAATTTTGACTACAGGGTGGCCATAAAGTTTGTGTGCAATTTAAATAGGTACCTATTTATGGCCACTCTGTGTTTAAAAACATATTTAAAGAACCATTAAATTTAAACAACTATGCTGGTATCCTTAACTAAATGTTAGCAAACTAAATCCAGCAGTATATAAAAAGGAATATATATAGTACTGAAATGGGGTTTATCCCAGAAAGCAAGGTTGGTTTAGCATCTGAAAATACACCATATTAAATTCATGATCATCTCAGTAGACACAGAAAAAGCATTTGGCAACATCCAACACCCTCACATGATAAACATGCTGAGCAGTCTAGGATAGAATTGAACTTCTTCAACCTGATAAAAAGCCTCTAAGACAAATGTGAAGCTGACGTCATCATTATGGTGAAAGACTGAATTATTTTCCCCTAAGATCAGCAACAAGACAAGAGTTAGAATGCCAGCTCTCACCACATCTACTCAGCATTACACTGGAGGTTTTACAAAGTGGATCAGATAAGTAAAAAATACCAAAGATATGTAGATTGGAAAGAAAGAAATAAAACTGTCTTTATTAGAAGATGACATAGATGACATGATTTTGTTTATAAAAACAACTTAAGGAATCTACTCCCACAAAGAAACTCTTTATGACTAATAAATGAATTCAACAAGACTTGAGGATACAAGCTTACTATGTCAGTAATAGTCAATAATATTTCTAAATTGTAGCAGTGAACAATGTGAAAGTGAAATTAAGAAAACAGTTGTATTTGCAATAGTATCAAAAAGAATGAAGCAAATGTAACAGAAGTGCAAGACCCATGCCCTGGGAACTGAAAAGCACTGCTGAAAGGTACATCATGTTCATGGACTGGAAGATCCAACGTGGAAAAGTTGGCAGTTCTCCCCACATTGATCCATAAATTTAATACAATTCCTATCAAAATTCCAGAAAGCTTTTTTGCAAACATTAAGCTGATTCTAAAATTTAAATAGGGAATAGGGGAATTCAAAAGGACCTAAAATAGCCAGAAAATTTTGAAAAAGAACAAAGCTAGGGATTATACTTATACTATTTGATTATAAAACTTACTATATAGCTACAAGTTATTAAAATAGTGTGGTGTGGGTCTAAGGACAAACAGATTAATGGGTCAGAATAGAAAATTCATAAATTAACTCTTAAATCTCTAGTCAGTTGACTCTCTGCAAAGATATCAGGTCATTTCAACGGGGGAACAAATAGTCTTTTTAACAAACAATGCTGGAACAATTAGATATATGAGGTCTGACAATTAAGTTTGCAAACTTGTCACTATGCAGTTATGTTGGCAGCACTGTAAAAACAGCTCAGTGAGGTTTCATAACCTTGGTATATCAGTGTCTAACAACTATGGTCGTGTTGATGTGATGTCTTGCTGGGTGATGCTCGTTGTTGAGTATTTTTGTGTGCCATCAGGAGAATGTTGGAGCTTGAATCAGAGTGACAAACACTAAATTTCTTGTTAAACTTGGCAAGAGTGAAAGTGAGATTAGTGACACATTTGTCCAAGTTTATGGGGGTAATGCCATGAAGAAAATGGCAGTGTACAAATGGATTAAATATTTTTCTGAGGGGAGAGAAAGAGTCACTGATGAAGAGAGGTTGGTGCAGCCAGTAACAAGCAGAACTGACAAAACCATTGCAAAATTTTTGAATTATGTGTCAAAATTGTTGTCTGGCTGTAAGAAGCATAGCAGACAAGTAAACATTGATGAGAAACAGGAAAATCTTAACCGAAAATCTTGGCATGAGAAAGGTGTGTGCAAAAAAAGTTCCTGAAGGAGCTCAGCAATGAACAAAAGCAAAGGAGAGTCCAAGCTTGGCAAGACCCTTTGGAGAGGCAAGATGGTGTTTGGGCCATGTCATCACTGGATGTGCCAATACGACCCTGGAACAAAATGTAAACGTGCACAGTGGAAGTCAGCCAATTCTTCATGACCAAAAAAGTTCCATCAGCCCAAATAAAAAAGAGTTGAATAGTGTTGTTAACATTTTTGCTATCAGAGAGATTATTCATTATGAATTTGTGCCAACTGGATAAGTAGTTAACCAAGAAGTACTGGAAAGACTGCATGAGAAAGATGAAAATGATCTGAACTTTTCACCAACAACTCATGGCTCTTGCATCACTACAATGCACCAGCTCACACAGCACTGTGTATGAGGGAGTGTTTAGCTATAAACAAATAACAGAATTAGAGTACCCTCCCTACTCACCACGACTCTCCTATGACTTTTTTCTTTACTCAAAGATAAAGGAAATATTGAAAGGACAACATTTTGGTGGCATTCCAGGACATCAAGGGTAATATGATAGCTCTGATGGCCATTTCAGAAAAAGAGTTGCAAAACTGCTTTTCAGGGTGGACTAGACTCTAGCATTGGTGCATAGCTCTCCAAGGGGAGTACTTCAGAGGTGTAGTGGTATTCAGCAATGAGGTATGTAGCACTTTTTCTTTCTTTCTTTCTTTTTTTTTTTTATTAAATCATAACTGTGTACATTAATGCAATCATGGGGTATAGTGTGGTGTTTTCATATACAATTTGAAATATTTTCATCAAAGTGGCTAACATAGCCTTCATGTCATTTTCTTAGTTATTGTGTAGCACTTTTTCTATTACAAGTTCTTGAACTTAATTGTCAGACCTCCTATATGATGGACTGCTTTTCAACAGTAAAAAGGATTGAACTATAAGACATACAATAACACTTATTAGTTAATTAATTGAAGCTTATGTTTTGCATTTTCTTTTGCTTTAATTTTTATTAAATTTAATTTTTATAAAATATATTAAATTTAATTTTTATTAAATATAAGACAAATAAAAGAGCAAGTGAGTGGCCTGGGCTCAGAGGGGATCATGATATATTCAACAGACGCCAGTCAGCTTCAGCAAACACATAGGCCCCATCCTATAAGATGATACCATTTTAGAAGAAAGGCTGGACATCTGGAATTTCATGTGAAATGTCATGATTTTTAATGTTAACACTATGTTAAAAGAAAATAAAGTGTTGCGTGGGCCAAACAAGAGTGTCTGTATGGTTTTTGCTTGATGGAGAATATTTGAGAATTTTCAATCAAGGCAATGATCCGACTTGCGTTTTGTTGCGAGGTATTTATAGTAGTGGTAACAGTTACTGCATGATCTCTGTATACCACGTGCTGAGCTGGAGATGACCACAGATTAAATTACTCGTCTAAATCATTTGGGTAATAAACGTAGTGTCTCTCCTTTAACCATTATGCAATTTCACCTCTTTTAACCTTTTCTTAAAGGACTTTTTAAAATGGTGTGGGTTTTAATCATTGTCTTTCAGTTCTTTTCTCTGACTAATACAGTTCTTCCAGATTAGAGCAATCTAGACCTCCAAATATAACACAGTGGTTTAATAAGAATAAGTGAATTAGCAAGAAAATAGCTCTAATTACTCAGAAAGCTCTTAATTACTTGGAGAGTCTCTTAAAACAATTAGGGATATAAAAATAGGTAATGAAGTTGAACATAGAATTGCTTCTCCATCTTCTGGCTAAGATCAAGTGTAACGTTGAATACAGACGTTATTTAAAGTATAAAAACATCTGTTTTCAGAATCTTTTGAAGAAGTTATTCCTGCAAGGAAGCTGAAGAATTTCTACCCGGGTGTAGCAGAGCACAAGGATATTTCCAAGCTGGTCCTCCTCCTTTCTTCCTCTGTGAATTCTTTAAGAAAGGCAGCACATGAGGCCCTGCAGGACTTTCAGAAGTATAAGACTCTCTGGACAGAGGACCGAGACGTGAAAGTGAAGGTGTATTTCCTCTACTGGTGATGTTGTTTGGGTTTGAATTGTTTGTCTCTAACTCTTGAGCATGAACTAGCAGAGGCCTAGGACCTGTCAATGCCAGCACCCGAAGCATTCTAGCGGGTGTGCTTCTCACAGGGACAGTGGATAAAAATGAGGCTCTCACAGATTTTGTTTAATTCCCTTAAACAGTGTATACTGTCCAGAGGCCATGTATTCAGGGGTGTGTGACACCTACGTAGACCCAGCTGTATTTTTGGTTAGAGTTCTGCCCAGCCATTCCCAGCAGACTGTGAAATTCCCCCTCGGAGCCTCCTCTCAGTACTGCCAGGGTATCTCGTTCTTTGTCCAGCTTCTGGCCCCATAGCACATGCAAGTGTAGACATATACAAGCAAATGTACTTTTCCGACTTAACTATCATGAGTATAATATTTGTGCTGTTAAATATTAAAGGAAATATTAACTATCCCCTCACTATAGGAGTTTTTGGCTAACAATCCCTCTCTGACGGAAATCAGATCAGAAATTCTACGCTATGCTACTTTTGAACAGGAGATTGATGAGTTGAAGCCTATTATTATTGTAGGAGCACTTGAATTACATACAGGTATTTAAAAATTTTACATTATGTAAAGTATCTGTATTTTCATATGAAATGTTACTTTATTTAGCAAGCAGTTATTCACCTACCTTGGTATAATATTATACGTGTTACATAGTTCTGGGCTATCAATATTCTTCACACTACACAGGCTAGTTCCTCAAATAGCAGTCAAATAACTAAAACTACAGGTGAAGTTCTTTTTTAAGTCACTGTGAGGAGGGGATTGTGTGCATGAGATCAGAGTCAGTTTGTTGAGAACTTGATCCATCTGGGCATCTGGGACTGGAGTATCAAAGGTTGATGAGACAGCAGGAAAGACTGAGATGGCGTCATTGCTTACCACAGTGAGGGAGAGCTGTGCTGGTCAGGCAGTGTCTGGCAAGGCAGACTGCTGGTCTTACCCAGGGTGTCTGGGAAGCATGTGGCTCTAGGACTGTGGATTTAAATAGGTTGACACCTTCTGTAGAAGGATGTTTACTCAGGTGAGACAGCTGGTGATTGGCACTTAGGGGCAGTTTTTTGCCTATATCCCACCTGATGAGTTGACATTTGTAGGAAAGGGGCTGATACCAATTGGCCTGCAACAGTATGAGAACTGAGGTGAACTAGTCTATGGTTTGGGTTTAAAACTGGTTGTGGCAGTTGTTACCATGGTTACAGAACAATACTCTTGTCCTAAGTTTGTGGGAAGAATTTATTCTCAGACAATATTTGAACAACCTATTTTATGTGAATATATCTACCTTAATTAGATTTTCAGATCTATCCTAAAGGAGCTAATGTAACTGTGGCTCTTGAATTTGACCACTTGACCTCTTTAACCCCCATTCTTCTGGCAGTGATAATGACAGAGTCTACTTCATGTGAGACACTTAGCAGAGAACTCAACAAATAGTTGATGTTCAACAAATATTAAATCCTCTTGCTATTATATAACTACCAAGAGAGGATTTAGCAACTTGGGAGGCTGAGGCAGGAGGATAGCTCAAGGCTAGAAGTTCAAGTCTAGCCTGGGCAACATAGTGACAACCCTCATCTCTAAAAAAAAAAAGTAGGAAAAATTAGCTGGGTGCAGTGGCGTATCAGTAGTCCTCGCTTTTGGAAGGAGCGTTACTGGAGCCCAGGAGTTTGAGGCTATAATAAGCTATGATTGTGCCATTGTGCTCCAGCCTGAGTGACAAGAGTGAGGGAAAGAATAAAAGGAAGTATTCAGTTAGGTGAAGAATCACAAGTACTTGAGGGGATTTCATGTAGAATTTGGAGATTTCCCCTGAAGTACCTCCTATTCTTTCTTAAATAGTTACAGCAACTTCTGTAAAGTTTTAGAAACAGTATCCTATTACTTAAAAAAAATTGTCTTCTCATAATAGTTAGCACTATGATCTTTTTTTTTTTTTTTTTAGACAAAGTCTCACTTTGTTACCCTTGGTAGAGTGCCATGATGTCATAGCTCACAGCATCCTCCAACTCTTAGCCTTAAGTGATCCTCTTGCCTCACCTCCCTAGTAGCTGGGAGTAGAGGGCCCTGTCACAATGCCTGACTATTTTTGGTTGCAGTTGCCACTGCTGTTTTAGCTGGTTGTGGCTGGGTTTGAACCTGCCACCCTTGGTATATGGGGCAGGTGCCCTACCCACTGAGCCACAGGTGCTGCCCAGCACTATGATCTTTAATACAAGAAGCACCTATAAGCTGGGCATGGTGGGGTGCACCTGTAGTCCCAGAAACTAGGGGGCTGATGGGGAGGATCTTTTGAGCCCAGGATTTTGAGACTGTAGTGTGCCATGATTGATTGTACCTGGGAATAGCCACTGAACTCCAGCCTGGATGGCACAGTGAGACTCTGTCTCTAAAAGAGAAAAAAGCAACTATAGCTTAGTGTTGTGGTGGGCCAGGTCAGGGGTGCTTGTTTCTGGAGAGAGGGAAATAGAATAGGTAGTGATAATTATGAAGAAAGGGGAAGGATGGCCAAATCCCTCAGGTCTGGAAAGGAGAAAACAGGCCCAGTAGAGGACCTCATGAGATATGATCTCATAGTGTCAATCAACAAGCTGGCTGCATGGTTCTTCTTGGGCCAGACTGTTTCCTTGCCCCCCAGGCCTCTCAGTTTAACTCTTGGAAGGAGAGAGGGGAGCAATCATGTTTCAAGCTTGGCAGGGCTGGGGAGTAGGGGTCTTGAGAGAAAAAGAGAGGAATGGGTAAGAATTGATAAGGTTTAGTTGTTTACTGTAGAGATGTTTCATTTTCAAGAAACAGAAACTCATTTAGAAGCTGTGTTAAGAGAAGGAAAGTAGGCCCCAGAATCCAGGATGCAACTGGGCCTTCAGAATGGATCAGAACCAGTGATGGCATAGGAAGCTGAGGATGTCCTTTCTGTCTGCCTCTCATTTCTTTCTCCCTCTGTGCATGACTATTTCTGCTTCCCAGACCCCATGGCTCACCTTCATATCTCATTCTAGACTCAGGTAGGTTGGGTTGATGTGGAACACTTGCCTAGGCCCAGGGGATAGGGTCAGGTTATACAAGTGCTCTAACTATGTGGATGAGGTAGCCGGTAGAATAACAAGAAAGCTAGAGTAATGGTTTGACAGAAAACAACAGATCTTCTACCATGTGGGGTTCCATAGAGGAAAATGGGGGAGTGAATGAGGACTGCTAATGGGGTGGCCAAAAACAGAGCAAAGTTCATACAAAACAACGTTAGAACTAATTTCAATAATTCTCCTGTAGTTTCCTTCTCATGCACAGCTCCATGGGGGTATCAACTCCCCGGGCATGGGAAGGAAGTCTTCAAAACTTAGTAACTTTTTCAGCACATGGAATCAGGCTAATACATTTCAGATGCTAAGGGGCCACATGTGGTCACTGACTGCCCAGGTGGATAGAACAATTACAGATGCTCAGATCACACATCAAGTGAATGGTTTCAAAATGCCACTTGTGTTCTATTTTCATCTTTTCTTGTCTTCATTAGGGCCAATGAAATTGGCCTTGTCCATTGAGGCTAAGGCATGGAAGATGTTACTCTGTCGATATTTGAATGAAGAATATAAAAAGAAAATGTCAGACATGATTGCATTTATTAATGAATACTTGAAAAAGTTGTCTAGACCCATTCGTGATTTAGATGATGTCAGATTTGCAATGGAAGCCTTGTCTTGTATCCGTGATAATGAAATCCAGATGGATATGACCTTGGGACCAATTGAAGTAAGAAATCATTGCATTTTTCTTTCTTGAAATGCTTTATTTTTGGGATGTGGTGGTAAACTGAGACACACTATAAAGTAATTCTTTAACATATTCCTTCATCTGTTAAATGCCATAATCTGCCTGTTTCTCCTTTCTGATGTTGATGTCTTTGGGGGAATTTTGACAGTTATTAACAGTGAATAGTATACAGAAGAATATCAATATAGCAGTAATGCTGTACTGGCTAGAAAGTGTTCAGTTCTTGATACTGCAGCAACATGTTATGGAGAGGAATGGTTGCATTGTCTCATGTCTATCCTGACATGTAGACAAATTCTCCAATATCTTTGGCTTGCCTTAGACCAGTGGTGGTATGGTAGGAACGGTCCACCCAGGCTCCATAATAAACTGTTGGGAATTTACATCAACAAAAAATATTTTTAGGAAGTTATCACAAATTCAATGTTTTAAAAGAACACAAATTTATTATAGTTCTAGAGATCAGAAGTCCAAAAGTAGGTCTCACTGGGTTGAATTGAGATGAGCTGTGTTTCTTCTGGAGGCTGGCTTTGGGGGAAAATGCATTCCTTGTCTTTCCCGGCTTCTAAGGGCTGCTCCCCTTCCTTGCTCATGGCTCCTCCTGCAGTGGCATCCTTCCTACCTCTGTTCCTGTTGTCATATGTTCTCTGCCTCTGCCTCTCTTTCCCTTGTATAAGCCTTTGTGATTGTAGTGGGTACACCTAGTTAATCTATGGTCCTTTCCCCACACAAGCTTCTTAACTTAATTACATCTGCAAAATCCTTTTGTGGTGTGTGGCAATATATTCACAGGTTTTGGCGATCAGGACATGACAGCATTGGGGAGTCCATTATTTTGTCTATTACACATATTTTATGATTAATATTATTTAGAATGTATGGCACACAGTGACAATAAAAATCAGATTTATAATTAGTTTGATTACAGTTTGTTCTCTATAGATAATATACTCCCTTATTGCCTGCAGTACCTAGGGAGTTGGTACCTTCACTGCCAACTCTTGGTACTCAATGCTTAAGACTCTTTTATGCTTTTTTGGACTCATTTACAATTTACACTCTTTGGGAGCAAATGAACTTCACACTTTTACTGTTTTTTAAAATCTTAGTGTTCAGGAATTATGGATCACTCAGTCCTCAAGACTTAATAAATTGACATTTATTTTTCTGACTGCCAGGAGCAGTGAGCATACAGCATTGTATTCTTCAGTATACAATTTTTTGGTGAAGCCAATTGGCCATCCATCCCTTGGATCATTGAAATTTCTTTTCTTTCTTCTTCTTCTTCTTTTTTTTTTTAGTATCTCCCAAATCATCATTTCATTCCATTCCTTATATAACCAACCCCTATTTTAATAAGGTATGAGAAATTATCTTACATGGTGCTGACAGAAGATCAAGGAGGAGAGAGAGAGAGAAAATGATCCTCGGGATATTTTCCAGCATAGTGTCTCTCGATGTCATCTGCCGACATCCCCATCAGAATTGCCTGTGTGCTTATTAAATGCAGATGTAAGAGCCCATGATCTTGAGGCATTCTCTGGTGGTCAGTGAGAATCTAAAGGTGCTTTTCATACACACTTAATTTTGGAAAACACTCTTCTGGTTTGTTGTCTTCCACTAAGACATAGAAACGTTTCTAGAAGGCATCTAAATCGTTGGCAATTGCTTCCCCTTGTGATATTTCTGAATTTCACCTCCACTCTGCAGGAAGCCTATGCTATTTTAAATAGATTTGAAGTTGAAGTAACCAAAGAAGAATCAGAAGCAGTTGATACCTTGAGATATTCTTTCAACAAATTGCAGAGTAAAGCTGTAAGTACAGATTTAAGTATTTGATCTTTTGTTAAGTCACTATCTCCAGAAAAAAATGTGTTTTGTATTTTTTGAATGCTGACTGTGCAGTCATGTGCATTATACATAATGGCATTTCAGTCAAGGACAGACTGCATGTAGATTGTCTTATAAGTTTATAATACCGTGTTTTTACTGAATCTTTTGGTTTAGACATCATTAGATTCCCAAATGCTTACCATTGTGTTACAGTTGACTGTAATATTCAGTGCAATAACATGCTGTACATGTTTGTAGCCTACGCGCAACAGGCTGTAATATCCAGCCCAAAGTGTGCAGAAAGTTGTATCGTCTAGGTTGGTGTAAGTACACTCTGATGCCTGCACAACAATGAAATTGTATAGTGATGCATTTCTCAAAGTCTTCCCGTTGTTGAGCAGTGCCTGACTGTATACTATTTTAACAGTTTTATTGAGATATAACACACATAAAATTTAACATTTTAAACTATGCAGTTCAGTGATTTTTAGTGTGTTCACAGAGTTGCATAACCACCATCATTATTTAATTTTAGAACATTTTCATTAACCACCAAAGAAATCCTGTACCCATTAGCAGTCGTTCCCCATTCTACCTCAGCCCTGCAACCACTAATCTACTTTCTGTCTCTGTGGATTTTCCTTTTCTGGACATTTCATGGAGATGTAATCATACAGCATGTGGCCTTTTATAACTGACCTTGCATGAGGCTGGACAATTACGTTCAGGACCTCCTCTTAGGAAAATTGCTTTGAAGGGTGGACTAGGTGCTGGTGTCAGTGCATAGCTCATGAAGGGGAGTACATTAAGGTGACTGTAGTGATACTCAGCAGTGAGGTATGTAGCACTTTTTCTAGGGTGAGTTTGTTAACTTAATTGTCAGAACTTTGTATACCATGTTACGTTGATTCAGTTATTTATCAGTGGACACTTGGGTTGCTTCTGTCCTTTGTCTATTATGAATAATGCCGCCCTGAATGTAGGTATACAAATATTTCTTTGTAACTTGCTTTTAATTCTTTTAGATATATATTCAGAAATGGAATTGCTGTATCATATATTAATTCTCATAATCTTGCTTTTAATTTTTAACTTTTTGGAGATAGGTTCTCACTCTCTTGTCCAGGCTGGAGTGCAGTAGCTTACTGTAACCTCAAACTCCTTTGTTCAAGTGATCCTCTTGCCTCATCTGCCTGAGTAGCGAGGACTATAGGTGGGGGCCAGGATGCCCAGCTAAGAGTTCTAAAAATTTTTTTGTAGATATGAAAGTCTCACTATTTACCCAAGCTGGTCTTAAACTCCTGGTCTCAAGTGAGCCTCCTGTCTTGGGCTGCTAAAATCCTGGGATTACAGGCATGAGCCACCACACTTCACCCTATTTTTAATTTTTTGGAGAACTGGCATTCTGCTTTCCATAGTAGCTACACCATTGTACATTGCCTCTAGCAGTGCATAAGTTTTTCAGTTTCTTCACATCTTTGCCAAAACTTGTTATTTTCTGTTTAATTAATTGTAGCTATCCTAATGGGTGAGGTGGTTATCTCGTGATTTTGATTTACATTTTTCCAGTGATTAGTCATATCGGGCCTTTTTTAACATACTGGTTGGCTACTCGTATATCTTCTCTAGAGAAATATTCAAGTCCTTTGCCCATTTATTAATTAGGGTGTTTGTCTTTTTGTTGTTGAGTTGTAGGAGTTCTTTATATGGTCTGGGCATTAACCCCTTATCAGATACATGACTTTCAGATATTTTCCCCCATTCTGTAAGTTTCCTGTTTACTCTGTTGATTGTGTCCTTATAATGCTTTCAATTAAATTAATCAGTTAATTAATTAATATTTTGGGGGTGCTCTGGTGAAGAGCAGAAAACATACTAGACAAATTCTAAAAGAGCTGTAAAACTTGCCTTTCATTTCTCTAAGGCTGCTAGTGTTGCCCCTTCTTTTATTCTTGATTTTGGTAATTTGAGAGGTCGTCCTTATTCTTGTTTAGTCTAGGTATAGGTTTGTCAACTTTGTCAGTCTTTTCAAAGAAGAAACTTTTGGTTTCTTGATTTTTCTATTTTTCTACTCTATCATTGATTTGTGTTCCAGTTTTTTTCTTTTCTTTTTTTTTTTTTGCAGCTTTTTGGCTGGGGCCGGGTTTGAACCTGTCACCTCCAGTATATGGGGCTGACGCCTTACTCCTTGAGCCACAGGCGCCACCCTGTGTTCTAGTTTTTACTATTTCCTTCCTTCTGATTGCTTTGGGTTTAGCTTGTTCTTTTTTGCCTTTTATTAAGATTAGGTTACTGACTTGAAATGTTTTTTAATGTATGCATTTATAGTTATAAATTTGTCTAAACACTTTTTTTTTTTTTGAGACAGAGTCTCACTGTGTTGTCCTCAGTAGAGTGCTGTGGCGTCTACTGCATAGCAACCTCACACTCAAACTCTTGGACCTCAGCCTCCCAAGTAGCTGGGACTATAGGTGCCCACCACTATGCCGACTAGTTTTAGGGATGGGGCCTCTCTCTTGCTCAGGCTGGTCTCAAACTCCTAAGCTCAGGCAATCCACCTGCCTTGGCCTCTCAGAGTACTGGAATTACAGGCATCAACCGCCAGGCTCAGCTTTCCCTACACATTTTTTAAAGTTGGTAAACGTATACACATCACAAGTTAGACATTAAAAATGAACTCCAAGGGACAGTTCACATTCTTTAATTTGAATTTTATTGAATTCAATTCGAATTTGATTGAATTTTATTGAATTCAATTTGAATTTGATTGAATTTTATTGAACATTAATTAAATTGGAAGTTGGGTTAAAATTTCTTGTTTATGGAGAGATTTGTCCCTGATACTGAAGCAAGGCGTAGTAGCAAGGACGCGGAACTGAAATTGGGGTCATGGGTTGTGATTGCAGCTCCGCTGTCACTCACTTGGATGATGTTTGCAAGTTAATGTTTGTTCTCAATTTCTTCCTGTGATCATTTGGGAATATTAATATTTTGTATGCAGTTGGGAGTCTCACTAGAGGCAATGTACAGAAAATACGTTTTAAGTACTCATGTTTGTTTAAATTCATATTCAACATAAACTAATAGCTTCCTTTGGAAAGTGCTTACTGGTTAGTCAGGGGAGTAAATCATAGAGAAGAACTGAGGACCTCTCCATTGAGATTTAGTGAAACCTAATTTTCTGTAATTTTTCAGTGGAAAAGATTCACTTAGGGCTCAGCTCCTGTAGTTTAGCACCTAGGGTGCCGACCACATGTGCCAAGACTGGTGGGTTCTAACCTGGCCTGGGCCAGCTAAACAACAAAGACAACTGCAACAACAACAAAAAAAATAGCCAGGCATTGTGGCAGGTGCCTGTAGTCCCAGCTACGTGGGAGGCTGAGGCAAGAGAATCGCTTAAGCCCAAGAGTTTGAGGTTGCTGTGAGTTGACATCATGGCCCTCTACTGAGGGCGACATAGGAGACTCTGTCTCAAAAAAAAAAAAAAAAAAATTCACTTAAATTGTTTCTCTGTCTCTTTAACTGTTAGTGTTAAATCCATCCTTTTCTATTCTGACCCATCGATAGATGATATTTCTGAGAACAGTTAAGAGCATGGCTCCTGGAATCACACTTCTAGGTTTCAAATCTTGACTTTACCTTGTACTGGTGCTAGAATTCGAGAGTATTCCTGTGTCTCAGTTTCCTTGCCTATAAAATGGGTATCGTATGGGCATAATGTAGTTTACTACATAGAGTTGCTATGAAGAGTAAATGAGTTAATATATGTAAAGAGAATGGCAGATAGCAAGCATTATTTAAGTGCCAGCTGTTACTATGGAAAGTTTAAGCAGAAACTTTCAAGACCATTTTGGAAGGTATCTGCTGTTTTTTTAAATACCTAGAGTGATACCACTTTCTCTTAGGGCATTGCCCCACCCATTGAAGCCACCTGGACCTATTAGAGACTGCTCATTCCAGACCTTACATGTGACCCAGACTGAGCCAGTAATAGTAACTCTTCCCTATCCAAAGCAATGGATCAGTCAGAAAACTTTTGCTAACTACAGTTACAGAGAAAATGACCTTGCTTCTTGAGTCACAAACTAGAATGAACTGAGTCTTCTAGGTACATTTGGGTTGTTAGTGCATTTTATGACAAAGAAACAGAGAATCCTTGTTCATATAGGACATGTCTGAGATAAACTTGCTGGACTAGGATTGTCGTTTTTACTTTTAATATGTTACTTTTACTCTCATGTTGAATGTTCTTTTTTATTCTAGGTTTCTGTTCAAGATGAACTCGTTCAAGTGCAGCCAAAGTTTAAAAGTAGTCTGCTTGAGTCTGTGGAAGTTTTTCGTGAGGACGTGAACAATTTTGCAGAAGCATACGAGCTGGTAAGTTAAGTATTTGCTTGCTGTGTGCTACAATGTTCTGTGATATGTTTATACAAAATGAGTGTGCCGAACCCTGAGAAATAGGAATGTTGCAGGTAAGCAGCTATCTTAGCAGCTGTCAAGAAAAAAAGGAAAGCTAATATTTTAAGCACATCTTATGTGGAAAGAAAGCAGATTTTACTGTTAAAAGGAGCAAGAACTTTGGAGCTTATGGAAAGACCAGAGGGTCTGGTTTTGTCCTTTCATAAGGCCAGAATTCCTGTGGTAGAAAACGTGATCCAGCTTTTGGAAGACTAAGAAGCTGGAAGCTGGAAGTGCCCTAATACCAGGGCATCAAATATCTGATTTTATATTTTTACTGACTTTTAGAGAACCAAAAGGGTCACTGAAAATAAATAATAGATGTCGTGCTGGGTCAGTCCCACAGGCAACTTAAGATGGTATTCTGACTGATAATGTTGATCTTCTTGAAGTTAAACTCAAAATTGGATATGTTCCCCTAAAATACTCTTTCTTACAGAGGTCACAAGGAATCTGAATTCATAAGATGATGTGAGGCTGTTGGTGCCACTAACATAATGCTTTTAAAAAACACGTACTGAACTTAACTTTTTTGATTTGTTCTGTCATTCGGATGTTAAGAGTAAATTAAAATGGAAACTGGGCCTGAAGGATCTCTGAGCAGACAAAGCCAGTTAGGCATCTGTGAACTAACTGGTTAGGCATCTTGAATGACCTAACCTTGAAAGATTTGCAGACATAAGTGAAACTTAAGTAGCTACTTTTTTGTATGTGTATATATTAAAGAAAAAGGATCTTAAACTCAGTCAATCAGAGGCAGCAAATAAACCTTTAACTGTATAACTAGGGACTTTACAGTAGGCTAGGATCAAAGAAGGCGACTTTATAACTGTCACCAAATATTTTCTTTGTATCCCTTCTGTATGCAGTCTGTAGAAACCTGTGCCTTATACTTCTGCAGTGGCGCTCCTGAGCCACGTCTAGTCCTGATTCTTAAATTTCTGTGTGTTCAAATAAATGCGTTAAAAAGTGTATTGTGCCTCAGTTTCCCTTTCACACTTTTATATTGAGAATATGGTCTATTATTTAGTACATCCATAATATTCATGATTGTACAGACCATGTTAATAATCTTAACATTTTTCAATGAGGGATAACCCTTGTCATTTTAATTTGATTTACTATACAGTAAATTCTTTTAGTCCTTTGATTCACTGGGGGACTCTTTTTTGGGGGATTATTTTGCAACTGTGTTATGGTGTATGGCCACCAGAGACTGCCTTCTGCTTCTTACAAGTGTTCAGCTTATGTTTGTTTCTATTTCCATATTGGGCTGAACAATTAGTAAAAAGAGGCTGTTCTCAGAACTCCGTGTCAGTTGTTCTAATGTGCAACTGTGGCATCATCATTTGTAATCATAAATGGAATTCAGCAGTGCTTCCGTGGTACACACTTCATACAGATGTAATTCTGTCACATTTCTTATTAACTGTGCCAAGCTCATTTAAAAATGAGTGGAAGCTGGAGTGATGAAAATGTTCTAAAATGGATTGTGGTCATGGCTGCCCATGAATATACTAAAAAATCATTGAATTGAATACTTCAAATGGATGAATCGTGTAGTGTGTAAATGACATTTCAATAAAGCTGTTGCAAAAAAAAATAAGGAAAGTTTCAAGTACAGGACAAAATCAGATCATTTAAATTAAAAATTAATGCTGATTTATGTAAAAGGAAATGATAGATAAACCCAACAAACTGACAGACAGTATACATGGTTAAGAATGGAAATGGAGGCTGTGTTATTCCTTCTAGGAAGGACCCATGGTTCCAAATATACCGCCCCAAGAAGCAAGCAACAGGCTACAGATATTTCAGGTAAAACCACATTTTTTTTTCTTTTGGGTTACATTGACAATGTGTGATTTTAGAAAACGATTTTAGGGAAAAATTTATGTTTGAAGTTATAAAGAAAAGTTAGTGTTTAAAATACACACAGACTTCAGTTGTATTCCAGTCTGCTAATGGATGTAATTGACACCTTCCTTGTCTCTTCACGCCCTCTCTACAGAGTATCTCTTTGCATTTTTAGAGAAGACTGTTTTGAACTTAAGTGTCTACCCTAGTCTAGTTCTAAGCATCCTGTTTGATATGTAAAGTAATAACAATTCATAGTACAATAAAATTTATCAAGATAAGATTTTGAATATTGGCACCTGTTTTTCCGGCCTTCCCTCTGTGTCTGTTATTTTTCTTCCTTTTGTATCTAGCACTTGAAACTTCCCTACTCCTTTGTCCTACCTCAGGCAGGATAATCAATACACATGGGACCAGGCCACCCATTTACTGTTTTCTCTGCACTTGATTGCTGAGAAAAATCACACACCCGTTTGGATTAATGCTTTGCAAATTCATGGATTCCTATGTAAATTTGTCCTTCAGGAATGGCAGAAAATTCTGTTCTTTGTCCTTGTTCTTTTTCCTGTTTCCTATGGTGGCTGAACAATGTCTTAAAGTTCTCTTTATGCATGACCCCTATCCACCTACATTCCTAGTAGAATAATATTTATCAGATGCCTACTGTGTGGTTTGCTCAATAGGAATTTGGCTAAGAAATGGTTACCCCAGGCCGGGCATGGTGGCTCACATCTATAAGCCTAGCACTCTGGGAGGCCAAGGCAGGAGGATCCCCTGAGCTCAGGAGTTTGAGATAAGCCTGAGCAAAGTGAGACCTTGTCTCTACCAAAAGTAGAAAAAAACAGCTGGGTGTTGTGGGGCCTATTGTCCCAGCTACTCCAGAGGCTGAGGCAGGAAGATCACTTGAGTGTAGGAGTCTGAGGTTGCTATCAGCGAGGCTGATGCTATAGTACTCTAGCTTGGGCAACAGAGTGAGACTATCTCTATAAAAAAAGGAGAAAGAAAAGAAAGAATGGCTCAGTGCCTGTGGCTCAAGTGGCTAAGGCACCAGCCACATACACCTAAGGTGGCAGGTTTGAATCCAGCCTGGGCCCACCAAAACAACAATGATAGCTGCAACCAAAAAATAGCTGGGCACTGTGGCCAGCGCCTGTGGTCCCAGCTACTTGGGAGGCTGAGGCAGGAGGCTCGCTTGATCCCAGGAGTTGGAGGTTGCTGTGAGCTGTGATGCTATAGCACTCTACCCAGGGGGATAGCTTGAGGCTCTGTCTCAAAAAAAAAAAAAAAAGAAAGAAAGAAATGATAATCTCTAAGCTTCTGCTACAACCTGATTGGGAGACAGCAAGCTAGAGAGAATTCCCCAAACCATGTAATGAGCCCTATGATTGAGGTATGTGAAGGTATGTGATGGAAACAGGTATAAGGGGCTCCCAACCCACATGGGGGCTGCTGGGGCAGACAGAGAAGGCTTCCTGGAAAAAGAGGCATCTGAGCTGTGTCTTGAAAGACTAATTAGAGTTTTCCAAGGAGAAGAAGGAGGAAAAGCAAGTTAGACAGAATTCTTGGTTCATACAAAGGCAGTGAGGAGACAAACAGGGAGATTTAGGAAGATGTGGGCAAAGAGGATAGAGAGGGATGGGGCAGCAAAGTGAGCAGAGGCTACTAATGGAGGGTGGGTTGGCTGCGTAAGGAGTGTGGCTCCTACCTGGAGAGCTGGAGGGTTCTAAGCAGGGAGTGACGTGACTAGGTTTAGTTATTTATTTTTTTGAGACAGTCACACTCTTTCGCCTGGGCTAGTATGTAGTGGCACAATCATAGCTCACTGCAGCCGCAAACTCTTGGCCTCAGGTGATCCTCCTGCCTCAGCCTCCCAAAGTGGTGGGAATACAGGTGTGAGCCACCGTTTGCCCTTGTCCTGCCCCACAGTGTTTTGTAACATAACTTTAATGCTGTTTATTGGGAGTTATTGGGCTGGCCTGCTGACAAAGCTGGTACTTTGTTCCTGTTTGACTGGTGCTGTGAGTTTTTAAAATATTTTCATCTATCTTATATTTATACTTTTACCTTGTGCACCTCATGACTCAGTGCTGACCTAGGGTGTTTAAGTAAATTATTAAATATAATTTGGAACCTGAACAAAAAAGGGGTGAGGGGTAGGCATCTACCAGTAGTCTTTACCACATGACTAAGAGTTTGAACACTACCGTTTGAAAGCATTCTAACCTTGAGGCTGTTGTTTCTCCTTCTCCAAGGTTCATATAGTCCCACAGGTTCTCTATTCAGTAAATTTATTGAAGAATCACTATGCTAACAACCAAGGAATGCCCTCAATTAAAAAGGAAAAATTAAAACAAATGTGCATTAACTTTGCTGATTTAAATTGTTAGAATTATTTCAAATGGAAGCTTTTGTTTTATGGACTATCACAAGTAGAGAAAACGGGACTGACTGGTCTATACTTAACACTTCACTCATTCGAACTCGGTGTGAAACAGCCAGTCTAACTTAAGGAAAAAGCCTGCATTCTAGAGTTTTTTGAAATGCAGCTTTATTACTTTCAGGTGTATTTATGAGAACTTGAAATATAGATCTTTTAGCCATCCCTTACTTTATTAAAGAAATGATTTTTATATAAAATGGATACTTTTAGAATGCTTGAAAGTTAACTTTCCTAAGTGTTTAACTTTTCCTTTGATAGCTTCGTATCACTATAAATTCGCTTCACCAATCCTATTTCATAGATATTACTTAATAAACCTCAACCTAGTTTTTATTGTGATTATAATAGGTTCTTTAATGAGCTGTGATTTAATTATGTTACCGCATAATTTAAAAAACCTTTGTTATAGGCGAATTTTGATGATCTCTGGAGGAAATTTGTTACATATTCATCTGGTGAACAACTTTTTGGATTGCCTGTGACTGACTATGAGGTTCTACACAAAACCAAGTATGTTTAAAAATATGCAATGAAATTAAAATAAAATTATTGCATGAAATAGTTAAATACTTTCCATTAGAAGAATCATATCACCATTAAATCTGTTATCATACATAAAAGAACATGAGTGGCACTCTGGGGGAGTAGAAAATACCTTGCAAAGATTCTGGACATTTATGGCCTGTATTTAACCTATACTTTACTTTTTCTTTTCACTATTTTTGAATAGTGTCAGTGATTATGCTGAAGGCCTGCAATTTTGGTTAATGTCTGTTCTTTCAGACCAGTGTTTTTCAACCTTTTTAATCTCATGGTGCACTTGAACCTATACTTCTGCCGCACACTTAAATGACATTGATCAAAAGGAAAAGAGAGGTGCCTATAGCGCAGTGCTTACAGTGCCAGCCACATACACTGAGGGTGGCGGGTTTGAACCTGGCCCAGGCCAGCTAAACAACAATGACAATTGCAATGAAAAATAGCTGGGCGTTGTGGCGGACATCTGTGGTCCCAGCTACTTGGGCGGCTGAGGCAAGAGAATCACTTAAGTCCAAGAGTTTGGGTGATATAGTGAGACTAAAAGAAAGAATATATATACTGTACTTTGAACTTCTTTCAAAAATAATTTAATTAATGCCGTTTAAAAAATTTCGAGGCACACCTAAGATCCTCTCACAGCATACCAGTGTGCCATGGTTGGAAATCATGGCACACTGGTATAGGCACATGGGTTGAAAATCACTGTTTTAGAGGAACAACTCTCCTAGGCTTCCCTTCCCTTCTTAATGCCCTTCCCCGTTGTGTAGACATGAAATTTATTGAAATTGAAGGCCAAAGACAACTTATTTTAAACACTAAATCCAAGCAACTAAGTTTTAATAGAATTTTGGAATATTTTAATAGAATTTTAAATATAACTTCCTTCAAAAGCAACATTAATACCATATTAGCTCATTAGGGTCTTGGCTTTAGGAAAGAACTTTATGTTGATTTCCTTCTAAGTCACAGCATGAAAATGTTATAGCAAAATAGACATGAAATTTTCTTAAGATTAATTAACTCTTAGCCGTTTCGGGTACACGGTTTGTATTCGTTTTCTAAAACAGTCATTCTCCAAATGTAACCCATTAAACAATCACATTAGAATTGCAGACGCCTGGGTCTCATCTTTGACTTGCTGAATTAGAATCTCTGTAATTAGGTCCTAGGGAATCTGCATTTTTACATACCTTGTGGGCAGTCATTAGACACACTGTTTAGAATTCAGTCCCTTAGTATAAATAAACTCTCAATATAACAGGAGAAATAGTCATTGTAATTTACCAGCTGGACCAGTGGATCATTTTTATTCTGATGTTTTAAAGTTATTTTATGAATAATTTATACAAGTAAGAATAAAGGAATAGTGAAAAGTACTTTTATTGGAAAATTCAATAAGGATTTAAGTAAACTCAAAATTTGACCCTGTAATGTCCTGGTTTAAAGACATATATACCAAATGGAGACCATCATTTGAAAGCAGCTAACTCCTCATCAGCTGCCATGCATGAAACTGGAGCACACACATCTTGTAAACACTGATTCTCGATTTCATACCCATCTCCTGTGGATCTCTAGCTTATCATTACATCTACTGTTTTTTTTTTCCACTTGCATTGTTAAAACTGAAGACTGCTACAAACTTGGACATATAATTTTATTGAAGAGGGGACTGCCATCCTCTTTGCACTATAAATATGAGAGTCTTTGTGTTTAGATTTGCTCAATTCAAGTAATTTCCTGTTGTTTCTACATCATGTTTCCCTTGTATCCACATCTACCTTCATTGTTTGTCCACTTACGAAATATTTCATACAAAACTTAAATATGTAAATAATGAAGGAACACTATCATTTACCTTTTCCTCAAAATGGGCTTTTATCACAGAATGTTGCATAATGAGACCCTTGCCTTTATTGAGGTCTATGAAAATCTATTTTTCACTCGTAAGTTACTGAATGAATGAAACTCATCTAGGTTGTCATCTGAAGATTCGTAGTCTGATATTTTACTTATGTAATGAACTTCGCTCTTGAATTAGAGTCTGGAGTGCTGCTTTCTCTTTTCTGTTCAATACGTGGGAAACACATTCTTTTGCCAATTTTCTTCTCTTTGCTGTTTTAAGTAGAAAATGAAAAATTCTGAATGCTTAACTGTATTAAATAAAAGCTAAACAAGCACAAATTTAAAAATTACACAAATGGTGTCCTGGAGTTCATTTTCTGTGCTTTCCAGTACTTAGGGTAACACAGTAAGAAGCCTGAAGGATGGTGCACTAGGGTGTCTTAGAGGAGATTTTGTCATTTTCTCTTATTATTTTAGTCATTTTTAAGTATAGTTGAGAATAATCAGTAATAATGAAATCTTACTTAGGATGATGAAAAAGAAAAATGTATCAAGAATTGGAAAAATAAGGTAACTAAGATTACAGAATGTATCTGAGAGTTATAAAAAGGTATAGTGCACCCACATGGTAATTAAAAGATGGGATGATTTTTATTCCATTAAAAACATGAGTAAATTTTATTTGTTGGTTTTTGGATTATCTCTGAGGAAGAATCAATCCATATAAATAGAACTATTAAAAAAATTAACTCCCAAACTGAAATTGGGTTCAGTGGAACCTCTTGGTATGCTAAGGGTTGAGGAATTTCTGGGAGAATACACAATGTCAAGGGGTCATTTTGGTGTTTTACTCAATTAACAACTTGGACCTTTTATTCTTATTTTGGACATAGTAACTGCATCTGGGCATATGAGGGAAAATTTCTGGCAGGAAAGTGACCTTTAAACTCATACTTAAAGGCAGTCCAACATTTAATTATGGGAAATGTTCTTATAAAAATCTATCTTATATTCAAAAGGAAAAAAATAAAATAAAACTTTAGCTTTGATCTCATCAAGTTTTGGTCACCTTGTTTGCAATGATTGGTATAGTAAGTTTCTCATTAAAAAACACAGAGTTGTTTTTTCCTTTACAAAATAATCAAACCATTTGTTAATGTCAAGTTATAGAATAATTCAGAATATTTGAGAACTATAAGCTTGACCTTATTAATAGAGCTTTAACAAAGTCTTGTATTGGAAATAAATATTGTAATATGCATTTGCTATCCGTAAGACATTATATCCATAATGTATGAAATATTTAATTGGATGAACTCTGCCTAATAATGGAATTTATTTAAAAACATACCTTATGTGATGACTTAGTTGTTTTTGTTTCCCAGAAAGGAACTCAACTTGCTGCAGAAACTGTATGGACTATATGATACTGTAATGGGCAGTATCAGTGGTTACTACGAAATACTCTGGGGAGATGTTGATATTGAAAAAATTAATGCAGAACTGCAGGAATTTCAGAACAGGTGAGTTTCAGTTGAGTTAGCGTACTTTTTTATAGCACCTGTCTTCTTAGAATCCTGTAAGTATCTCACAAACTAATTTATTCCTTGATACATTGCTATATGTGCATAAAACCTTCTTCAGAGAAATATGTAGGTGATGTTTTCTCTTTTTCTTTCTGAAAGGTGTCGTAAACTGCCAAAAGGACTTAAAGATTGGCAGGCTTTTTTGGATCTCAAAAAAAGGATTGATGATTTTAGTGAGTCCTGTCCTCTCCTGGAAATGATGACCAATAAGGCGATGAAACAGAGGCACTGGGATCGAATCTCTGAGTTAACTGGAACCCCATTTGATGTGGAATCTGATACTTTTTGCCTTAGAAATATCATGGAAGCACCACTCCTTAAAAATAAGGATGATATTGAGGTATATAAGAGGACAGGGTCTTATCAATGATTCATTAAAGAATGTCTCATTTTTCTTAGAATTGTACAGACATTTTATTAGAGGGTGTACTAATTAGCTTCTATAATGCACCTTTAAAATTTGGAATGATCTTGACTGTTCATGGCTTTTACAAAATAATCCTGTAACTGAAGGAGATAATATGGTTATTTGAAACACATCCATTTTGGAGCCCCTCACTTTATCCTCCGTGTCCCTTAACTGCACTTTTATTTAGAAAAAAACTACTTACATGTTGTGTTCTTGCTAAATTTCTCAGAACAATTTTCCAAATTTCTAATTCTGTATTTTTTGTATTAAATCTATTAATTTTTTAAAAAATTTCTATTCAATTTTGCTGTTCCAAGATTTTTAATTGGTTCTTTATTTTGGCCACTGGTGCTTTTTGTTTATACACTTTTTTCATTCTTTTCTGTCTTTTTTTGTAGATTCTTAGATCTATAGATTCTTAAGTATATATTCTCAACTCTCTTATATAGTCTAAGATCTGAAAATTTTCAAATCTACAGATTTACAGATGTCTTCATTTATCTCTTTGAACATTTGAAGCCATAGGAATTTTTCAAATTTATATTACGGAAAATTATATGAGAAGTAGAGATCTCCTTGCTTCAACATTTATCAATTCATGGCCAGTATTATTTTATCTGTGTCACAATATTCCAACAGCTTCAGCTTAGCTCTGTTTTTTACCTTTTTTTTTGTTTTATCCATTATTTTATGTTTTTGGTGATGTGAAAATGCCCTGTGACCAGAAAACACTATTATGTATACAGTGGATTTTCTGCCTCCCCCGCCTCTCTTTTTTTTTTTTTTTAAGGGTTTTTGGTTTTTCTTTTTAAAGAGACAAAGTCTCACTTTATCACCCTCGGTAGAGTGCTGCCAAGTCACAGCTCACAGCAACCTCCAACTCCTGGGCTTAGGCAATTCTAAGTAGCCTCTCGAGTAGCTGGGACTATAGGCACCAACCACAACACCTGGCTATTTTTTTTTGTTGTTTGCAGTTTGGCCGGGGCTGGGTTTGAACCCGCCATCTTAGGTATATGGGGCTGGTGCCCTACTCACTGAGCCACAGGCGCCGCCCCTGCCTCTTTTTTAACATATGTCCACAGAAAGTTTTGCCTTCAAAGCATTTTTGTCCTTTTTGTAAATGCCACTAAGATACTATTGAAGGAAATAAAGAATTAGAAATGCTTTGGTGACCATGTCATTCTTGTAAGTAGGTTTTTATACTAAAGAATATAGCCATTCACAGGCTGTGCTTTGAAAGTTTCATTTTGCAATTTCAAGTGATTCTAGGATTACATTAGTACCTCTTGGTGCCCCAAACAGATTCTTAGTACTGTCTACCTTAGACACTCTGTTGCTCTGCTGCAAATGTCAAACTAGTAGTCAAACTCGATTCCTGCTGTTAACTGGATTCAGCCGGAAAGGAAGCCCTTTCCCTCCGTACAGCACGTCCTCTCCCTCCCAGCGACCTCCTGCTGGAATCCCCTCCTCTGGACACCTTCCTCCTCAGCTCAGGCAGAAGTCACTTCTCCCTCCTCCCAACTCACAGTGGTTCATGTCACTCTTAGGACATTTATTACACCAATTTATCTCGTAATCATTTGTGGGAATACCTTACACCTTTAAATTCCCCTCCATGTCTGTGATTCTGAGTATGAAAATGAGAGGAGGTGTGTTGAGGAAAATATGTACTTTTATCTTCTCTTGTGAGTTTCATATTACATGTTCTCAGAAAAATACTAAAATCCATAAGAAAAAAATGAAATGGGTTTTTAAGCAAACGATATACTCATATTAAAGCCAGAACAGTCAGGGATCTAGTAATATGTATATGTTAACATGAAGGAGTTCAAAGACTTTCACTTACATTCTGTTTGATTCTCTCACAGAGCTGGCTTCTGGAATAGATAGGGCAGCTGTGATTATCCCCATTTGAGCCAAAAACTTCAATTAAAAATATAATCAAGAAAATGATTTAAGCTCCACTGTCTCATGTATAGGAAAATAACTAGTGGTCAGAGGGTCATACGGTTCCAGTGTCAACATGCACCACAATGATCTTGAGCTTTGTTTTCTTAGCTGTAAAGTGATAGGAAACAGATGACTTCTGGGTCTCTTCCAAGCTAAAAAAATTCTATGATCTTATGATGCACTTAATTCGTAGCCGAAAACCTCATGACTTATTTTTTGACTTTGACCCAAAGGATATCTGCATATCCGCCAGTAAGGAGAAGGATATTGAAGCCAAGCTGACTCAGGTCATTGAGAATTGGACCAACCAAAACCTAAGTTTTGCAGCCTTTAAGGGAAAGGGAGAACTCCTACTCAAAGGAACTGAATCAGGAGAAATTATCACTCTGATGGAAGATAGTTTAATGGTCTTAGGGTCCTTACTAAGCAACAGGTAATTTTATAATTTTGGAGGGGCAAGTTTTAATTTGGTATTTATGGTTATAAGATTCTAGGTAAACGATGACCAGTTTTGCAGCTGTGGCATCACATAGGATTCTTCTACCCTCAACTGTTAGCTCTTCTCTGTCCCTATATGAACTGTCAATTTCCACTGATAATCATTGCCTCCATCTCTCTCTCTCTCTCTCATACTCTCTCTCTTTTTGTGACAGTCTTACTCTGGGTACAGTGCTGTGTTGTCATCAGCTCACACCAACCTCAAACTCTTGGGCTCAAGCGATCCTCTTGCCTCAGCCTTCCAAGTAGCTGAGACTACAGGTGCTTGCCATAATGCCGGGCTATTTTTTTAGAGACAGGGTCTCTATCTTGCTCAGGCTGGTCTCAAACTTCTGAGCTCAAGCAGTTCACCTGTCTCAGCCTCCAAAAGTGCTAGGATTATAGACAAGAGCCACCATGCCTGGCCACCCCTCTCTTTCACTGGTATTCATCTCTCCTCCTCTGTTTTTCCTGGTGAGCCCCATCATAATTGTTCCCCATTACCTTGTCAGCTTGTCCTCTGAAGATATTGGCTCTCCACCGAGACGACCTCTTCATTTATCTTCTCTCTTTCCTTTGTTCCTCTGATGTGCATCATTGCCCATCTTGGCGAACTCTATTCAAACATCCACCCAGCGGCCCTGGGAAAGCCTGCTGGCCACACATGCAAGCAGTACACCCGGGGCTTGGTATTTAGAGACTTGCAGTTTTTATGGTGAAAAGCAGCTGAGGCCAGTGTGGCCTGAAGGAGGTCATTTGTTCATCATGGATGTACTGGAAAAGCTCAAAGGTGCCGTGATCTTGAGTGCAGCTTTAGGAAATTCCTGTGGGACTCAGTCAGATTAAGTATTCTGCTAAGTCTTTGGTCTGGGCATTAGCAACCTCTCTTTCCTTAGTGACTGTGCAGTAGTTTGTGACCATTCTTCATCCTAACACATCTAATCAGTACCTAATATCCCTTCTGCAGGTTGGAATCACTGGTTAATGTGTGGCATTCTGCATGACCTCTGACCCTGGAGCAGTCCTCTATTTGGATAATGTGCTAGTCTATAGTGCTCCTAGTCCAGGGTGTCCTGGGTTGAAGTTTTGAGGTCAAGATCCTGGAGTGCATCCTCTGCTCCCAGGGAATGTGGACTGTCCTGGCAAAGGTGACAACAGAATAGTCACTGTTTCCTAGACTTGATGGGGTACTGTTTCCCCATGGTCCACTGCAAATTCTGCCATCCTGACGTCTTGCATGATGACCTCTTGAAGAAGAGCTGTAGATTCACCTGAGCACTGTCTGCAGCCACGGAATTCAGGATTTGAACGCTTTCTTAAATTCATACTTCCTTGGACATGCATAACCTGATTCACATAATGCCTACTTACGGTATTAATAGACTCTGTGTCAAGGCCCTCCAACAAAAAGTATTAGGTTGTTTAAGAGTCATTGTATTCTGGGAGATTTTCATCCTAGGGAACTTTGCAGTACCAAGTGGACCTGGAAAGCCTTTTCTAGAACTATCCTCAGAGTGTCCTTATAGCAGGCAGTGCCTGCTGTATCTCTAGGACTACCTTGATGGGATGTCAGAAGGAAATTGTGTCACTGTGAGTGAGACTTGACTATGGAGATGTGCCTAGATTTGGATACGTTCCTGGCGGATCCCTGATTCCATGAGACTTCATCTTCCCATTGGCTGTGGTGGCTTTGACCACACAGAGTCAGACAGTGTAGGTACTTGACTGAAGGCTAGAAAACTAGTTTGTCTAGATTTTTTCAGATCTCTCTTTTTCATATTAAGAAGTTATATGTCATCAAAGATGACCCTTGTTATTCTCCAGGCAGGACTAGGTGCTTCTTCCTGAAATGCCTGCCATGGCATCTTAGTCTGCGTGTCTTAATTTTAAATATGTTTTTGGCATACTGGCTGCTTTTCAGCTCTAGACCAATGACTGGAGGGACAGTATAAATTGGAGGTTAGGAAAGATGCCTCTTACTACCTAAGCAACTGGATTGTCCCCCCACCTCTTCGGGCAGTTTTTGTACAACTCCATTTATAACTCCATGTATTACATAGGCTTCTAAGATGTTCTGGGTTGTACTCAGCCATCAGACTGTGCCTAGGAAAATCTCATCAAATGTGTGAGCACCTTCAAGTCACTGTATCCTGGATCAAGAAAAGTTTGAAGACCCTAGTTGACAAGTGTCACTCACCAGAATGACTACTACTATCATTTCGAAACTACTATCATATCAAAACTACTCATCATTGCCACAAACTGAAGTTGGCTTCTTACTCTAAGTGTAGGCGATTTCCCATTACTTCTTCATGCATTTATTCTATTTCTTGGCTTTCTTTGTAGTGCTCAGCCTTCTAGACCCCTTGTATTCTCATAAACATTTCAGCCAGCCCTGATGATCAGGGAACAGGAGCCCTGCTATCTTGAGGTGGCTACCCTGAGTCTCCAGCACTGTGGAATTCTAGTTGCAGTCCAGATGGAATTTGCTGTCCATCAGTGGAAAGAGCACACCTGTGAGTGGACGTCAGACCTCAAGTTTGGCTCTGGTTTTGTAGTCATCTTTTTCCAGATGGACCTGGTGATACCTAACTCTCTTCTGATCTTTTGGGATCTCATCTGTCCTGTCCCTTTAGAGGTGGGGGCCATCTCTTCAAGACCATTCATAAAAGAAAAATCCCTGGAGAACAGTCTCTTTCCCTAGATTTAATTGTTCCACAGACCAGTAACAATGTCTCATGTGTTACTCCCACAGCCAGTCCCCACTTGGATTTGGCTCACAGAAGTCACGGAAAACCATCTTATTCCTTGATTTCCCTTTACTCCTAGAAGCATCCAGCACAATTTATTTCCTGGGCCTCTGTGCCTTAAAATTTGGTCTGTCTTTCTATTCTATGATTGACACATGGGAATGACAAGTGAAATCACTACAATTACATGAGTTTTATTCATAAAAAGTAAAAATTTTACTGACTGTATGGTATCCATTAGGGACTGCTCTTTCAGGACAAACCGTTCATTCCTAAAGGAACATTTCTCCTGTAATTTAATAGTATGTTAGGACATACTATTTTCTAAACCTCCAAACCTTCCTTGAAATGTGATGTTTTCTATTCTTACTTTTTAGGTATAATGCCCCATTTAAAAAAACTATACAGAATTGGGTGTATAAATTGTCCACGTCATCAGATATAATTGAAGAGTGGCTAATAGTACAGAATCTTTGGGTTTACCTTGAAGCTGTCTTTGTGGGTGGAGACATTGCCAAACAGCTGCCTCAGGTAAATATGGCTTTTGTAATTACTAATAAAATATAACTTGGTGTATGGTTTGTATATATCTCTGTGACAGTGTGCACAAAGGCTTATGGTCAAGGCTTGACTATCCCCAGAGTTGGCAAACTACATTCCATGTGCCTGTTTTTTGTAAATAAAGTTTTATTGGCACACAGCCCTATCCATCAGTATCATCTATGGCTGCTTCAGCGCTGTGACAACAGAGTTGAGTAGTTGTACCAGAGACCTACAAAGTATAAAATCTTTACTATTTGGACCTTTTCAGAAAATGTTTTAAGTACGGTGCTGACCTCTCATTTATATGAGCAGAAAGAAGAAACTCATATAGTTTCAAACAGTGAATAATCTTGAGGTTGTTTGAGGATGCAAGGTGCATTCAAATAGAGTACAATTAAATTATACTAATTTATTCCAAGAGTAAACTTTATAACGTTCATTTGAGAGTAGTATTAAAATTAGTCTGTATTCTGTAAGTATGGATTAACTATTATTGTTGACCACTAGTGGATCAGACATACACCGTGGGGCAGGAAACTTGGCCTTAGAGGACTATAACAAAACATTTAAAACAGCCCTATTAGTAGGGTCTTTTAAATAAATATGAAAACTGACAGTTTTATTCTATGAAAGTAACTTTCCTATTATAAAATTAGGTCTATTCTTCCTAAATTTCTATATCTACAAACAGGATCTATATAGATTAAAAATAAAAAAAATCAAAAGGTTTTGAAAATGACTGACTTCCTTTCGTAACACATTTTAAAAACATTAAAGTGTTTGCTTTTTAATTAGAAAGTTACATTTTTCAAAGAGGCAAGATTATGCCAATTTCTAGAGGCATTTTTGCAATTGAGTGCAAAGTTTAATATCATCCATAGTAAACAGAAAATTTTCATCTGCAAAAATGTAAATGAAGCTTTCTTTGTTTTATATTTTTACTGATTTTTCCCCTTTTTCTTCCTGGGGTACAATTGGGCTGTAATTATTCCAAGGATCCTAAGATCAAATTATTTTCATGCCTCTTCAGTTTGTTCATCAAACCGAAACACTTGGGGTGCTGAAACACTAGATTTGAACTTGAAGTTGATAGCTCTGCAAATTAATCATGTGGTACTTTAAAAAATGTATTAAATGCAAGGAAACAAATGAGCAATAAATTCCTTTGTGGTAAAGCAGTATTTTAATAAGCAGTTTTATAACTTTGGATTTTTGTTGTTCAGAATTAATTCAGATGAAAAAAAAATGGTCTGTTTAAATTATGCAGCCAAAGACTAATAGAGGCTGGTTTGAAGAACCATTGGAAGACTTTTCTTTTCTCATTTACCCAGATGCTAACCTTTACTGACTCTGGCTTTGTTTTCAGGAAGCAAAACGCTTTCAGAATATTGACAAGTCATGGATAAAAATAATGCAGCGAGCTCACGAGAATCCCAATGTGATTAACTGCTGTGTGGGAGATGAAACCATGGGACAGCTTCTACCTCATTTGCACGAACAGCTGGAAGTGTGTCAGAAGTCACTCACGGGGTAAGAGTTTCATTTTAAAATCACTTGTCTTTTCTTTGTGATAGTGTTTTATCCCAAACAAGTTACTAGTATTGACTGCATTACTGGGTTGGCAGTGTTGGTCAAAGTGCAAATAGGAGTTTAAACTTTCATCTAACCTTTGACTTGTGAGTGGGTAAGTTAAGGCACTGTATTAGTTTCCCAGGACTGCTGTAAAAAATTGCCACAAGCTAGATAGCTGTAAAGCAATATAAATTTATTCTCCCATAGTCACGGAGGCAAGAAGTGTGGAATCAAGCTGTCAGCTCCTTCTGAAGGTTCCAAGGGAAGACCTTTCCTTGCTTCTTCCAGCTTCTGGTGGCTCTAGGAGTTCCTTGCCTTGTGGTTGCATAATTGCAGTCCCTGTCTCTGCCTTACCTGGCTTCTCCTCTTCTTCCTGTGTGTCTCTTATGATGGCATCTGTCATTGGATTCAGGGCTGATGGGGATAATCTGAAGTGATCCCTCCTCAAGGTCCTTGACTTCATTCCATTTATAGAGAACCTTTTTCCAAATAAGGTCATATCCACAGATTCCAGCGAATCACATAGACCTATCCTTTGGGGGGAGACACCATTTAAACCATTATAGGCATGGAGTGGAAATGTGCTGTCAGAGAGCAATTAACTAGACAGATTCATATCTACATTTCTTACAAGGCAATTCATGTTCAGCTTCTATTTGAAATGGAGTTATGATACACATATATCTGGTTTGTCCAAGTTTATGTCTCTGTCCCCACTCTCACTCTCAAAATGTCCTGCATTAGAGATAAATTATGTGTCCCCCAAGTTCCCGACACTCTAAGAAAGGCCTTATGAGGAAAGCCGAGTGATTCAGTGACTCAGAAGCTGAGATGGGAGGATTGCTTGAGGCCATGAGTTTGATACCAGCATATCATAACATAGTGTTATGTAGGGTAACATAGTGAGAAAGAAAATATATTAAAATTTTTTTAATTGGCTGGTTGTAGTGACATGCACCTGTAGTCCTAGCTACTTGGGAGTCTGAGGTGGGAGAATCACCCGATCCAGAAGTTGGAGGCTGCAGTGACCTATGATCGTGCTACTGCACTCCAGCCTGGGTGACAGAAGGCTCCTGATGAGAAAAGAGATGACAATAGGTTATGGGGTAGACTTGCTTTGCTGTTATCTGAGTGAAGACAGTAGTGATTCTATCTTGGCAAAAAAATATTAAAAATTCAGAATAAATTACTTGGTAACATGCTGTTGGCTTTATTTGAAGGTATTTGGAGAAGAAGCGATTATTATTTCCAAGATTTTTCTTTGTATCCGATCCAGTTCTCTTGGAAATTCTTGGACAAGCCAGTGATTCCCACACTATACAGGTATAATCTAAGTATCTGTGTCCTCAGATGCTTTTTTCACAGCATTCATAATCAAGAATAAAAGTGAAGCTAACCTCTTAAAAGTTCAAGTAGGAAAGAACAGCAGCAGAATCACGTTGGTTATAAAATGTGCTCTTTTCTGAGTGTTTGGAGCCTACCAACCTGATGCAACCCTGAGGTGCTAGGGAGCAGGATTTCCTGACTGTGCCACTCACTAGCTCTGTGACCTTGGCAACTTTCTGAATTTTCCTATACCTCAGGTTTCTCAGGTGTAAAATTGGGATATTAATGGTTCCCACCTCATAGGATCATGAGGATTACATGAAATGATGTATAGCAAAGTAGCTAGCACACAGGATGTGTTCATTAATAACTCACCATTCTGCGAATTTTACTCTACATATCCTTAACCGAAATAGGGATTGTGGTTTAGATTTGTGTATTTTTCCTTCCAGAAATCTTCTCAAATGCTTTTTGCCATTTCCAAGAGCAATACTTCCAAGAGCAAGAGAAAAACTACAGAGACCTGGGCATGGGAGGCACTGAAGCACCCACCCCAGGGCCATTTCTGGTTTGGGGATCTAAGAGTGGTTAATATTATCCTCCTTCCAGGGAGATGTGGGGATGAGAAGAGAGAGGAGGGCAAGGTGCTGTGAAAGGTGGAGATAGAGGCAGAGAGAGGGCAGGACGGAGCTGAAAGGTGGAGATAGAGTCAGAGAGGGCAGGACTGAGCTGAAAGGTGGAGATAGAGGCAGAGAGGGCAGGACTGAGCTGAAAGGTGAAGATAGAGTCAGAGAGAGGGCAGGACGGAGCTGAAAGGTGGAGATAGAGTCAGAGAGGGCAGGAC